TTGCAAGCAACCAACCATAGTCAGTAACCCCAGCAACTCACATGGTAAAAAAAAAAAATGGAAAAATAAAAAAATGGAAAACACAAATAAAAACCAGAGAAACAGTAAAAGGTGTATATGTTGAACTCTGCCATCTTAAAGCTCATGCACTAAATTTCTAATATCTGAAAATGTGAACATGATTAGATCATAAATAGGATTGTGTAGATATAATCCTTCAAATTAAAATGAAAACCCAATTGTGATTTGATGGTACCTTCATATAAAAGAAAATATTGAATACAGATAACATTTAGGTATAAGTCCATGTGAATATTAGGTAAAGATTGAGGCTGACCAAGTGCCCAAGAATAGACTACTGGTTAAAGAAACTTTGGTACATCTATACAATGGAATACTATGTAGCTGTTAGCAGTGATGAAGTCATAAAATTTTCTTAAACGTGGATGGACATGAAGAGTATCATACTAAGTGAAGTGAGTCAGAAAGAGAGGGACAGACATAGAAGGACTGCATTCATTTGTGGAATATAAAATAACAATACAAGATGGACACCCAAGGAGAGTAGACACAAGGGCCAGGAATATTGCCCCATAGTTGGAATCCTGCCTCATAAGCTGAGGGAGTAAGCAGCTGGAATAAAGAAGGGATCACTAAGTCAATGATGGTTGGAGGAATCATTCAGGATGGAGATGTGTGCTGAAAATAGATAAAGAAGCAAACATGATAACTTCTCAGTATTTGTATTGCAGATCATAATGCCCCAAAGTAGACAGAGAGTATGGTGGAAATTTCTGCCACAAAGGCAGGGAGAGGGTTGGAAAGGGGGTGTATACTGGGACATTGGTGGTGGAGAATGTGCACTGGTGGAGGGATGTGTGTTTGATCATTGCATGACTGAAACTCAGACATGAAAGCTTGTAACTGTATCTCACAGTGATTCAATAATACAAAATAAAATAATAAAAAATACTTTATAAAAAGATTGAGGTTGATTGGGTTAAGGTTAGGACCAGGGTCCATAATCTTCTACATAGCAAGGAACACAAATATTACCAGAAAATTACTAGGAAGGCACAGAAAACTCTTCCTCATAATCCTTCTAAGCAACCAACCCTACCAATATTTTAATCACTTGCTTCTGAACTTTGTGACTGAGAAAATAAGTTTCTGTTCTTTAAGTGATTCAGCCTGTGCTATGTTGTCACACCACTCCTGAAAACGTATACACTAGACTGGTTTAGTATCTGAAAACCAACAATGTACTATAACATATTAATAGGATAAAGGACACAACCATAACAATAGTCAGAAAAAGCAATTGAAAAAGTTTAATACCAACAAATGACTTTATAAAAAAAACCCTTAGCTAATATAGTGAAAAAGACAGAATGGTTTCTCCAAGATGATGTCTATTCTCATTATGTCTATGCAACACCATATTGCTGGCTCTAATGGGGGGTGGGGAGACAACTGTATTACAAAGAAAGACTACAATCAAAGAAATAACTCAAATGATAGAGCACATTTCTAGCATGTGCAAAGCCCTACATTAGATCTCTGGCACCACCTGGTCATCAGAGCACCACTTGGTGGATCCCAAGTACCACCAAGAATTTCTCTGATCCACCAATGCTGGTAGGTGTGGAGAAGAGAAGGAGGAAAGGAAAGGAAGGGTGGAGGGGAGAGGAGATGAGAGAAGGCAAGGGAAATGGATGGGCGTGGACCAGAGAAGTAAAATTACCTCTATGTATATATGATTTTATATGTAGAAAATCCTAATTTTATTAGTAGTATTCAAATCCTAATGTTATTAATAGTATCCAAAGTAATAAAGTAATGAAGATAAATTTAATGAAATAACTTAAAAACCTTTACTCCGATACAGCCGAAGAGAAGGGCCACATGGAGGGCGGGATCCACAGCTCCCGGAGGAAAAAAAAAACAGGTTCCAAAAAGAGCCGAGATCATCGGGAAGTCCCAGATGGGGTAGGTACCGCATCCCGCCTCCCCCAGATGGAACCCCGGTGACCAGAAGCCTCTACAAGCACAGCTCGAGTATGCGGGAACTAGCACTTTTCCTCAAAACCGCGCGGCCGCTTCTCTCTATATACAAAGTGATCAATGGGAAGTAAACCACCCAACGTTTCTCCCTGAAAATCAGAGTTAAGTTTGGAGCACGGCCACAGCCCCAGAAACACAAGGACTTAATGCAGAACCCAGCAGCTTGGAGCAGAAAAGTGAAAGGACTATGCGTTAATCCAGGCCATCAAGTCTGCCCGGAGGGGAAAGGGTGTTGCCCCATTCGCCCTCTCTTCTCTGGAAAGAAGGATGGCAGCCGCATGGGAGCCTTGTGGACAGCAGGCATGAGCCGGGGGTGTGGGGGCGACTAAAACCTCATGGGAAGGGGGGCGTTCTGGTCCGTCCTTCACGCCCTACTGAGGCCACCGGTTGCCCCCCACGAGCGGCTCTCCAGCACGGCCACAGCCCCAGAAGCACAAGGACTTAATGCAGAACCCAGCAGCTTGGAGCAGAAAAGTGAAAGGACTATGCGTTAATCCAGGCCATCATGTCTGCCCGGAGGGGAAAGGGTGTTGCCCCATTCGCCCTTTCCTCTCTGGAAAGAAAGATGGCGGCTGCATGGGAGCCTTGTGGACAGCAGGCATGAGCCAGGGGTGTGGGGGCGACTAAAACCTCATGGGAAGGGGGGCGTTTCGGTCCATCCTTCACGCCCTACCAAGGCCACCAGTTGCCCCCCACGAACGGCTCTCCAGCACGGCCATGACTCCAGAGCACAGAAACCAATTTCTTAACTATCTGACATTCAGTAGAAATACTTCCAGGGTCAATAAGTAAAATAGCAGAAATCCAAAACCAACATTTAATTCTTGAACCCAGCTGTAGAAAGCAAATCACTTCACAATGCTTTTTCAGCATGTCTGATTGGGGGGGGGGGGGTAAACTCTAAATAATAGTGGTGAATCTTTTAATGAAACAATGAATCTAATCAAAGCAGATAGAGTGTTAACTAGAATTCATCTGCCTCACAGGGACTGGGAGGGGTTGGGGGTGGGGTTTTATTGGGGTTCTTCATGGTAAAAAATAAGTATTGGTAAAGGGAAATGTGTTTGATATTTGCATGACTGAGACCTAAACCTGAAAGCTTTGTAACCTTTCCCACAGTGATTCAATAAATAAATAAATAAATAAATAAATAAAAACCTTTACTCCAACAATCTATAAAACACGTTGGAAAAATATTTAGGCCTTTAAGAAGACCCTGCGCAGGATGAAGAGAGCGGCTTGGAATGCCTTCAAGAGCATTGAAGAAATAACTAAAAGAACAAAGAACCTCCAGCTACGAGCACATCTCTTTGATTCCACTGTTCTTCCTGCATTAACATATGCCTCAGAGACCTGAACCCTACGAAAACAGGATGAGAACGCTATTCGGGTCTCTCAAAGAGGGATCGAAAGAGCTATGCTTGGAATATCACGATTCACTCAAATGAGAGATAGAATCCGGAGTTCTGATCTTCGTCAACACTCAAGAATCAGGGATGCTGTCTCATTTGCCAAGACATCAAAAATCAGATGGGCTGGACACGTAATGAGGTTTACAGACAACCACTGGACTAGAGCCATTATTGATTGGATTCCTTGGGACATCAAAAGATCATGTGGATGCCCACCTACAAGATGGTCAGACTTCTTCGTCAAGACCCTGAATGATCGGTTTGAGGCTCTGCATGTTCCTAGAACGAACAGATACCATTGGGCTACACTAGCACGCAACCGGGATAAATGGAGACGTTACTGGCACCCGCTCGAGTAAATCGATGAATAACGGGGATTAAGTGATTAAGTGATTTAAGAAGACCCATATGAGTAGAAAGACATTCTATGTTTACTTCGTATTGTTAATATAGCAATAACACTCAAAATACCCTATTGATTTAGTGTAATTCCTATCAATATTCCAACTTATTTCTGTTCCTACAGTGATACAAAAATTAATATAAAATTCAGGAATACCAGAATAGCCAAATCATTCTTGAAAAGGAAGACCTAATTGAAGGATTAATATTTCCTAATTTTTAAATTTACTTCAAAGTTACAGTAATTGAGGTAATATGGTGTCAGCATAAGAGCAGACATGTAAACCAGTGGAATAGAATTGAAAATTCAGAAACAAGACATCACTCACGTTTATGGCCAATTGACTTTTGTAAAAGTGACAAGAACATACTCATGTTCTTGAACATATGAACCCAGGGCTGGAGGCTGGGGAAGGTGCACTGTGGACATATATGTGTTTTTGTTGACCGATCTCTTTTTACTTCTCTTGAGCAAATTATTAATTACCTCAGAGTATAATTGATGGATCACATGACAGCTACATATGTTGGCACTGGTGCTGCAATTTGTGATTCTTAACCTCTTGTGAAATCATTAATAGTTTTCTGCTTTATCTGGCTACCAAAATCAAGCATAATTTGAAATTTTTACAATGACCATTTCTGTCATTGCTTTTGCTGTCAATTAGAATCTAATGCTTGAGTTATTTCCAAGTATGAAGCTCTGATAAGCTGACATTTTTGTTTTGCTAGGAGATCAGATTTTAGGAAGGTAAGAAACTCTTATATGGAGTAAATTAATGTTATGAATTATCTTTGTTTTCTTGAGGCCTTATAGCTATTTATAGACATAAATAAATCATGTCTCCCATGCCCCAGGACCGCCAATTTAATTTACAGAAGGCATAAAATCACCTTCTTTTGACTTCATATCCTATTTCTTTTAATAATCTTGATGGAGATCTTAGTAGGCACTCATATCACTGCAGACCAAATTATACCAGAAATTAGTATACGATTCTAAGTACAGTCTTTCCAGGGAAAATATAGCTGTAATTATATGTATATCTGTATATATATATAGACATAGATATGCATAGACAGACAAAGATATGCATTTATTGAAGTCCAGAAGCTACTTACATTAGTAATAATAAACAGATATGCTGTGCCAAAGTCTATTAGACCCAAATCCAATGAAAATTCCTTATCTTCTGTTCTACAGTGTACTACAGGGGATCTGAAATAGGAAAAGTTTAATTCAGAACAAATACCACAACTTAGAATAGTGCCCCTATCTCCAAGATAAAAGTTTATGTCTTCTCTATTCATGCTAGGTCTAAACTTGTAGCTACTATATTTTCAGAAGAGAAGAATTCTGGAGGTTCAGCACAGGTTTTCCTGCTACTAATGTGAGCTCTTCATTGCTTGTTGGCTTTTTAAAACTTTTAATTTACACAAGGCACAAAATCACCTTCTTTTGACTTCATATCCTGTCCTCTCATCTAAGTCTTATAGATCTTTCTCTTCTAAGCTTTATGAATTTGTGCAACAGTGCAAATGGTGACCCTAGAAAGAAAGTATGAAATAGAAGAAGTATAAAATACGAGGCACCAGAGGGTAGGACTGAGACCTAATAGAAAAATTTTCTAACTTCTGAGAAATGGCCTCATTAACTGCACATTTGGGAATTACAGCATTTGTAATCACAGTATGTTTGTACTTAAAAAAAAATAGAGAGAGTCTGAGGGAAGGACACAAGAGTCAGAAAAGATCAGAAGTCTGTGTGTAGTCTAAATTAGTTGGGACATACCTATTCCATCCACGTACATGCAAAGAAAGAACTTAAAATATCGTTTGACTCAAAAAAGAAAGTGCCCACAAGAATAATGCTCTTACTCTCCTCCCTTCATGTATCTGTAAGCAGATACACCATAGTCTTCGCCAACATGAAGGGAAGTATCTGCATCCAGGGAGATGTTGACTTCTTTATGCAACGTGTTTAAAAACCTAAGGGCAAAGACATTATTACAAATGAGACACACTCTTCCAAAAGATTACATCTTATAAAAGGTTAAGGGTTTTTATCTGTTTTGTTTTACCACTATATCCCAGTTTCCCAATGATTACTGGCACATGAAAGGTACGTGATGAATGTTTTAAACTGAATGACCTCACATGTAAGTATTAATCAATGGTCTTAGCTCTCAAAACTTCCTCCTTTCTGTGGTATTAGTTTTCTATCAGTTCTACTTTTATCTCACCCATTGCTGTGATGGACATATCATCTTTGTAATCCTAGATTACTAAGGCAGTCTGACTTACCTCACTAATACACTTTAGCTGTACCCACTTCTTTTCTTTCTAAGATTCTACTAATAAAACTAGTATTTATATATACAGTATTTACATAAAACTGATAAAACTGAGTATCTCCTTATGAATGAAGTCTGATCTGATTTAGGCAAAAATCAGACCCCTAGCCCTAACAAGTTATCATTGTTCAGGGTCTGTAAATTGTTCTGGAATCACCTTTATAAGTCTGAACCTGGGCACCTTTTGTCTTCCTTACACTCCTATAGGAATTTTTGGCACAGCCCAGCAAGCTACCGAGAGTATCTTGCCCGCACAGCAAAGACTGGCAAGCTACCCATGACATATTTGATATGCCAAAAACAGTAACAAGTCCAACAATTTGTTGTGAGATGTTACTGGTGCCCGCTCAAGCAAATCGATGAACAACAGGAGGACAGTGCTGCTACAGTGCTACTATTTTGATAGGATTTTTTGGCACATTACTATTTTGATACGTTTTTCCTTAGTCGGTGATCCATTTCTGTTGTAATTCTTATTAATTTATGAACTTTAAATCACTGTTGTCTGACCTAGAAATTGCCCCAGTTTACCTCTTCTGGAGGTTACTACTGCTCTCTGACCTAGGAAAATCCTATCTTCAGGACTGTATTACTTATTTTGAGCTATTTACTTGTTCTAAGGCATATTAAAAAGAAAATTAATATCACTATTACTTCAGTAAAATTCACCCTTTTCAATAACTGTCCTAGTTCCAGATTGTCTGACAAGACCTTCCAACTTATCTGGGTTCAAAGCAAGATTTTTAACTCCAAATGTGTCACTTGTACTATGCCATGATTACTCTAAAGCTTATAATAAGATTTGTATTCTAAAACATTGACAGTAAAATATATTCATTTACCAACAATAATGAGAAAATCTGCTCATTTCTAGATTTCCCACTGGTTATAGAGATAAAATTACTCTTGATAATAAGTAGATAACCAGAAGAAATATGTGAGTCAGAGCAGAGGGGCACACACATAAACACTGGGTTATTTTTTAATGCTACAAGGGAGAAAATCCTATCTGACTTTCAGTATTCTGGAAAATATCTTCTGATAACTATGTCACTGACATTCTAGGAGAGAAAGTCCAAGTATAAAATAAGAACATGGAGCCTCTTCATCTGAAGCTCCACTGATAAAGAAGAGACGCAAGATTCAAAAAATGGCCTAAGATCTCTTTGACATCCAAACCTCACAGCTGTTATCCCATTCATTGTTTCATTTTCTGCATTCTTCACCTATAATAAAAAATAAAAATCAGTTACAACTCACAACAAGAATCCAATACTCAGAAAATTTGGTCATCAGGAATATCCTTCCTGAGAGAAGCTAGTCATTATACTCAAATACATTACAACAGTTTGAAAACTATAAGTTTCTACAACTTACCATCATGCTAGAAATATTTTTCCCATCTTCTCGAATAATCAGACTGTACCAGTTTTTCTCTTCCACAGGATGCTCAGTATACACAGACAAATTATGGTACTTCAGATGGAAGTGGAAAGCCTGGTGTTTTTTTTCTAGGTGGAGTTTGGAATAGTGTGGCATTTTCTGTGGAAATAATTCGTCATACTCACTTTCTACCCCACCTTGAACAACATAACTTCATATTATTCATAATGGGAAGAAAGCAAAAACATTCCTGCTGAGTCAGGCACAAGATAAGGATGTCCATGGTCTACACTCTAATTAAACACTGTGCTGGAAGTCCTAGGCACAACAATCAGGCAAGAAAAGAAAATCAAAGGGATCCAAACTGGAAAGGAGATGTCACATTGTCCCTATTTACAGATGGCATGATGATATACATTGAATACCTTAAATAGTCCACGCAAAATCTTCTAGAAATAATAAATCAATACAGCAAAGTGGCCAGCTACAAAGTCAAATACACAAAAATCAATTGCATTCCCCACATGCAAATAATGAGTCTGACTAGAAAGAGATCAAAAAGTCTATCCCATTAAAATAGTGTCAACAGGTCTGTTCCCACTTGGCATACCTCCCCACCCAAACTCGGGACCCTGAAAGCCAGTCGTGGCTCGGAACCCGGCCTGGGGTACCTGCCTCCACTTCCACAGCCAGCGCCAGCCCAACTAGTCGCCGCCCCTCCCCAACAGGTTGTGGACTGACTGGGGGAGTGGCCTCCTCAAAAGTGGCCTGGGCTTCTCCCAGGCCCGCAGCCTCTCACGCAGGTGCAGTTACATTTCCCACTCCCACCACGCTTGACTTTCATCCCAGCCTTTATCACCTAATTCTGTGAAAAAATTCCTGGCCACCTCAACTACAATTAATCACTGGCCTACTCCAATTTTAACAAGAGACCAGTACGCAAGAACCTGTACAAGCCCAATATTAAAGAGCACCTCCTCCAAAGCTTCACTAGATGCCCATCATAACGCAAAGAATAATGCCTGAGAGGAAGGTCAGACTCTAGAAAGGGAGAAGGGTGACTACCATCAACCGACCCTATCCAGAATCCTTTCCCATGATAAGAGGGAACAGTTCTGGTGAATTCCAGGGTTTTACCACTAGACAACCATTAAAATAGTGATCATAAAAGACACAGAATAGCCAATACCATACCGAAAAATAATAAACTGGGAGGTATCTCACGATCTAACTTGAAGCCATACTATAAAGTCATAGTAATCAAAATAGTGTAGTACTAGAACAAAAAAAGGACTGTGACTAATGGGTTCAAATATAATATACAAGGAATACAAACCCCCATAATTAGCTAATTTTGACAAAGCTAACTTTTCATCAACTAATTTTTGGCACAGATGCTGGGAGTATGAAATGGTATAAAGACAGACTCTTCAGCAAATGGTGTTGGGAGAACTGGATAATCACATGCAAAAAAATTAAAACTGAAGCCATATCTCACACTTTGCACAAAAGTCAACTCAAAGTGGATTAAAAACCTTGAGATTAGATCTGAATCTATAAAGTACTTTGAGGAAAATAAAGGCATAATTCTCTAAGACCTAGACCTCAAAGGAGTCTTCAGTGATATGATGCCATTGGCAAAGGCTACAGAATCAAAACTAAACAATGGGACTACATAAAACTAAGTAGTTTCTGTATGACAAAAGAAACACTGTTTGAAAATAAATGACATCTGAGTGGAAGTAAATATCTTCAGTCAACACATCAAAAAACAAGGTTGATTTCCAGGCTATATAAAATACAGTCCAACAACAACAAAAAATCGAAAACCCTCATAAAAATATGGGGGAGAGGAAATGAATAGACACTTCTCTGAGGAAGACCAATGGATAGCCATCAGCACAAGAAAAAATGCTCATTGTCATTTATTTTATTAGAAATATCTAAATCAAAATGATAAAGAAAAACATCTTACACCAGGGAGAATGGCACATATCAAAAATACTGGAAACAATTCTCTTGGTGGGAAAGTGGTAAAAAAGGAGCCATCATCCACTGCTAGTGAGAATGCTATCTGGTTCAGCCCCAGTGGAAAATACTATGAAGGGTTATTAGTAAATTCAGAATTCAGCTCCCATATGATTTATCTATCTATCATCAAGACAGAAAAATATCCATTCAGAAGATCTACATGTCCAATCACAAGTAAGTGGATCATTAAGATGTGATATGTATATATGTATATATATTTTATATATATATACATAAACACTTAGATACTATACAGATGTTAGGAAAGGTGAAATCATGAAATTCATGACAACAGGGATGAAACTGGAAGACACCATGCAGAAGGAAAAACACAGGATGTGATTTATATGTGGCATTTAGAATAATTGGATGAAGGAATGAAATGTTTTAAAGGAGGATGCCCAGATCAACCTTTGCCGCAGAGTACAGGGAGGAGAAGGAAAGAGTTGGGGGAGAGGGAGAAAAGAGAGATGAGGAGCATTAGAGTCAGGGGAATTAGGGATATGTGTAGTTTTAAGGGATGACAGAGCCAAATATCTAAACCACAGAATCAACAATACTGAAATTATGAGACCCAAATAAAATTTATAATGGTGCCTGTCAAGAATGCAGGCTGAAGGTAGGAATATGAGAGGGAACCTGGGAACAATCGTAGAGGGAAGTTGACATTGGTTGGGGAGGTCTGTGCTGCAATATTGTATGTATAAAACACAAACTAAGTAAGTTTGTAAATCACATTACTTTAATAAAAATTTAAAAAATTAAAGTCTTAAGTGCTTTAAGTAAATATTTAAATAAATATAATATTCACATAACAAAACATAATTTATCCATAAAAAATAAGTTTTCCAAATGTTATCCAAGGCAATGCAATAATTTATTAAGAAAAAGTCAGGATCAATAAAGTACATAAAGTTTGAATACCTATCTGAATTTATTTACATAAAAGGTCAACTATGTTTATCTCTGGGTGAGATGGAGTTGTAGTTATTAATTTTAAGTATTTCTATATACTCTTTAATTTTCAACAAAAACATATTGATTTTATTACGAAAATAAATTTAATATTAAAATGTTTCACAAACTCTATATTAATAGTAGTGAAAATAGGTAAGTGAAATGTTTTCAGAACATTGGGACTGGAAGGTAGTTTAAAAGAATATTGAGAGCTTGCACTGTCCCTGAAAGTATGATAAACACTTTATGTATAAAGTTTAACTTAATACAATCCTGCAAGCAAACAACTCCCTCAAAAAAGCTGGGGTGGCCACATTAGTATCCGACAACATTAATTTCAGATTGAAAAAGATTAGAAGGGACAGCGAAGGGCACTTTCTCTTCATCAAGGGAGACATACAACAGGAAGAAATCACACTCTTAAATGTATATGCACCTAACGAGGGAACAGCTAAATACTTGAAACAACTGCTAACAGACTTTAAGGAGGACATTGCTAGCAGCACAATAGTAGCTAGAGACTTCAACATCGTCCTATCACCTCTGGATAGATCAACAAGAACAAAACTCAGCAAGGAAACATTGGCTCTGAAAGAAGAAATAGAAGAGAAAGGACTTATAGACCTATACAGGGCTTTACACCCCAAAAAGAAAGAATACACATTCTTTTCCAGTGTGCATGGAACATTTTCCAAAATAGACCATGTGCTAGGCCACAAAACATACCTCAGTAGAATCAGGAAGATAGAAATACTACCAACAATCTTTTCAGACCACAATGCTTTGAGAATAGAAATGAATCACACACAGACACGGAGAACCAAATCAAACACCTGGAAACTAAACAACTCAATGCTGAGCAACGAATGGATCAGGAAGGAAGTCAAGGACAAAATCAAAAGATACCTGGAAACAAATGAGAATGAAGACACGAGCTACCAGAACTTATGGGATGCAGCGAAAGCCGTATTAAGGGGAAAAATTATAGCTCTGCAAGCATACCTCAAGATGGAAGAAAGGATGCACATAAACAACTTTACTTCATAGCTCAAGATCCTAGAAAAGGATCAACAGAAGGAGTCCAAAGTAGGCAGAAGGAAAGATATCATAAAACTTAGAGCAGAAATCAACGACATGGAAAACAAAGAAACAACCCAAAAGATCAATGAAACTAAGAGTTGGTTCTTCGAGAAAATAAATAAGATAGATAAACCACTATCAACACTCACAAAGAAACAGAGAGAGAGCCCTAATAAACTGAATAAGAAATGAGAATGGGGATATCACAACAGAAACCAAAGAAATTCAAAAGATCATCAGAGGCTACTTTGAAAGTCTGTATGCCACGAAACAAGAGAACCTAGAAGAAATGGATAAATTCCTGAATTCCTATAATCTCCTGAAGCTGAATCGAGAAGTATATAGAGTATATAGAGTATATAGTATATAGAGTACCTGAATAGACCTAATAACATCAAGGAAATTGAAACTGTAATCAAAAGTCTTCCCAAAAACAAAAGCCCAGGTCCAGATGGATTCACTAGTGAATTTTTCCAAACATTTAAAGAAACCTATTACCAGTTATTCTCAAGCTTTTCCAGGAAATTGAAAAAACAGAAATCCTCCCAAACAGTTTCTATGAAGCCCAAATTTCCCTAATACCAAAAGGAAACAAAGACACCACAAAAAAGAAAACTACAGGCCTCTATCCCTGATGAACACAGATGCAAAGATTCTCAACAAAATACTAGCAGATAGAATTCAACTACTCATCAAAAAGATCATACACCATGACCAAGTGGGATTCATCCCGGGGATGCAAGGGTGGTTTAACATTTGGAAATCTATCAACATAATCCATCATATCAACAAAGAAAAAGATAAAAATCATATGATCATATCAATAGATGCAGAGAAAGCATTTGACAAGATCCAGCACCCGTTTATGATGAAAACCCTCGCCAAATTGGGGATAGAGTGGACTTTCCTCAATATAGTTAAAGCCATCTACCACAAGCATTATCCTCAATGGGGAAAAACTAAGAGCCTTCCCCTTAAGATCAGGGATGAGACAAGGATGCCCACTCTCTTCACTACTGTTCAATATATTACTGGAAGTACTTGCAATAGCGATTAGATAAGGAAAAGATATTAAGGGCATCCAAGTAGGAAAGAAAGAAATCAAGTTCTCACTATTCTCAGATGATCTGATGATACTATACTTGGAGAACCCTAAAACCTCTACCAAGAAACTCCTAGAAACAATAGATCTGTATAGTAAAGTTGCATGCTATAAAATCAATTCCCAAAAGTCCATGGCTTTCCTTTATGCAAATAGTAAGAGAGAAGAAAATGACATGAAGAAAACAATCCCGTTCACAACTGTGCCCTAGAAATTCAACTACCTAGGAATTAGCTTAACTAAACAAGTAAAGGACCTGTACAAAGAAAACTACAAAACGCTGCTTCAGGAAATAAAAAAAGGACACAAGGAAATGGAAAAATATCCTCCGTTCATGGATCGGGAATATTAACATTGTCAAAATTGCCATACTTCCCAAAGCACTGTACAAATTCAACGCGATCCCTATTAGGATACCCATGACATTCTTCAAAGAACTGGAGCAAACACTCCTGAAATTTATATGGAACAATAAGCCCCCACGTATAGCTAAAGCAATTCTTGGGAAAAAGAAAATGGGAGGAATCAACTTCCCTAACTTCAAACTCTACTACAAAGCAGTAATAATTAAAACAGCATGGTACTGGAACAAAGGCAGAGCTGTAGACCAATGGAACAGGGTTGAATATACTGACGTCCCCCCCCCCAAGTATAGGAGCATCTAATCTTCGATAAGGGGGCAAGAAAAGTGAAGTGGAGCAGGGAAAGCCTCTTTAACAAATTATGCTGGCAAAACTGGACAGCTACTTGCAAAAAACTGGGCTTAGATCGCTGCCGAACACCATGTACAAAATTAATATCAAAATGGATAAAAGACCTCAATATCAGACCGGAATCCATAAGGTACATTGAAGACAAAGTTGCCAAAACCTTCCATGACATTGAAGCTAATGGTGTCTTCAAAGATGTCACGCCACTGGCTAAGCAAATGGATAGACAAATGGGACTATCTTAAACTAAGAAGCTTCTGCACCTCAAAAGAAACAGTGACCAAAATAAAAAGACAGCCCACAGAATTGGAAAGGATATTCGCCAAATACACATCCGAAAAGGGGCTGATATCAAGGATATACAAAGTACTGGTTGAACTCCACAAGAAGAAAACACCCAACCCTATCAGAAAATGGGGCGACCAAATGAACAGAAACTTCATCAAAAATGAAATTCGAATGGCTAAAAGACACATGAGAAAATGCTTTACATCATTAATCATCAGGGAGACACAGATCAAAACAACAATGAGATATCATTTCACACCACAGAGACTGGCCCATATCCAAAAGAACAAAAGCAACCGGTGCTGGCGCGGATGTGTCGAGAAAGGGACCCTCCTTCACTGCTGGTGGGAATGCCGACTGGTTCAGCCCTTCTGGAAAATAGTATGGACGATTCTCAAAAAACTAGAAATTGAGCTCCCATTTGACCCAGCAATTCCACTCCTGGGAATATACCCCGGAGAGGCAAAAAATATAGTCAAAGTGACATCTGCAGTTGTCTGTTCATTGCAGCACTGTTTACAATAGCTAGAATCTAGAAAAAAACTGAGTGCCCGAGAACAGATGACTGGTTAAAGAAGCTTTGGTACATCTACACAATGAAATACTATGTAGCTGTCAGAAAGGATTAAGACATGAAATTTACATACAAGTGCTACTACATGGAAAGTATCATGCTAAGTGAAACGAGTCAGAAAAAGAGGGATAGACATAGAAAGATTGCATTCATCTGGGTAACATAAAGTAACAAAATAGGAGACTAACACCCAAGAATAGCCAAGATAAGTACCAGGCGGATTACTCCATGGCTTTGAGGTAAACCGCACATGCTAGGGGAAAAGACAGCTCAGATAGAGAAGGGAGCACCAAATAAAGGGTGTTGGGAGGTTTCTCTCAGGATGGGAAGTGCGTGATGAGAGTAGACTATAGTCCGAACAAGATTGCCACTCAATATCTCTTTTGCAAACCACAGCACTCAAAAGGAGAGAGATAACAAAAGGGAATGCCCTGCCACAGTGGTAGAGTGGGATGGGGGATGGGGGGAAGGGGGGTGGGAGGGATACTGGGACTGGTAGTGGTGGAGAATGGGCACTGGTGGAGGGATGGGTATTCGATCATTGTATAACTGAAACCCAAGCACAAAAATTTGTAAGTCTACTACTGTACCTCATGGTATTTCACTAATAAAAATTTAAGGAGAAAAAAAAAAGAAAGTTAAAAGAAAAAGACATTACACTTATTGCTGAAACTGGGTTTTAGTAATGAAATGACCTTTTAAGATTTATAGAGTTGCATGACCAGGAATCGAACTAGAACAGTTTGATTCCACAGAAACATGTTCTCAACCATTATATTACACTACTGCATTGGTGCATAATCTAAATGTGCTTTGAATTTATGTAAGTTCATATCTCACCTGAAAGGATTTGATGGACTCTGACAAAATAGAATTGTTTTTATCTCCCAGAACTGTCACTTTCACTTCATCATCTGCCAGATTCAAGACTTGTAGGAAAACCTCTTGGGGGCCTGCCTGGGGTAAAGCCATTTCCTTCAAACAAAGAATACATGTGAGAATCACCAACAAATAATCTAGTCAATACAGTAAAAACACATATCTCAACCCTATTTCTGACAACCTATCTCATTGATTCAGGATACATTTTTTCACTAAAGAAACTGGTGGAGGGATGGGCACTCGATCATTGTATAACTGAAACCCACGATCACCATCATGATCATCCTGTTGTTCGTCGATTGCCTTGAGCAGGCCCCAGTAATGTCTCCTTTGTCCTAGCCTGAGATTTTTAAAAAGTGCCATATTCAAGGCTCTTTCAGAGCTAGGAGAATGAGACCCATCATTGTTACTGGTATTTGGTATATTGGGTATGCCACGGGGAGTTTACCAGACTCTGCCGTGTGGGCAGGTTACATTCGGTAGCCTGCCAGTTTGTCCAAAGTAAGAATGAAACCCAAGCACAAAAATGTGTAAGTCTACAACTGTACCTCATCACCATGACTCACAAATTTTTGTGCTTGTATTTCATTCGCTAATAAAAATTTTTAAAAAATTGTAAGTCTACAACTGTACCTCATAGTGTCTCACTAATAAATTTTTTTAAAAAAATTTAAAAAAATGTTTGGCTTAGAAGACTGTAAAGACAGTTTGAAGGGGGAAACTAGTTCAATGGAAGAAGCAATAATGTTCATTATTGACTTTGTATTTGACTGTGGTATCATTTATATAATTTCAAAGCAGCAGCTATTTCATCTACCAAGAGGTATTCGTTTAAGTATCTAGTAACATATGTCTGTATCCTCTAACAAATCACTAGAGATCCTTCTCATTAATTACCAGATAACTCTCATCCACTGCTGGTGGGGATATTGTCTAAATAGTATTAATATTTCTCAGAAGAATAAGAATAGAGCTTTCATTCATTCTGGTAATTCTACTTCTTTATATCTACTTCCAAAAAGCATTCATTTAAAAAGACAAAAACATCTTTGTTCACTACAGCACTAACTACAATAACTAAGATATGGAATCAAGCCAGTTATCTAAAGACAGATGAGTAGATAATGAAGGTGTGGTAAATGTACACAACTCCTATACAAGGAATGATAAAATTATGCAATTTACTGCAACTCAGATGGAACTGGAGAATATAATGTTAAATCAAATAAGTAAGAAGTAGGACAAAACTTGAATGTCCTCATTTATCTGTGGTGTATAGAATACTATGACAAAGGAATGGATAGTATCAACTGTGCTCAAACTCTTGGCTCTAGATTATAAAAATGAAAAGCCAATGGAAGGAGGGAAATAGAGAGGTGAAGTAAGAAGAGATAGGTGCAAGGTAACATGGGCAAGGATTTGGAGCTTTTGACACATCAGCGATGTGAAGGTGTAATAACTGTATATAACTAAACCACAGAACAATACTACTGTATTTCAGTATAAGCATGGGATCCAGTAAACACTGTATGCTCAAAAGTAAATCATAATTACTAACTTTAAAAACTGTATATAAAATTGTAGGAAAAAAATCACTAGATATATTTGATGATAGTGTCTGGGATCCCTTGACATTGTACTCTGAAATTTTTAGGCAGGGAGTGAATCTGATTTTGCACTGTGACTCTTCACCTATACCTACTTACAAATACTTGTTAAGCTTTCAAGAAGACAACCATTATGGTAGATCCTAGGGAATTAAACCTGAACAAATCAGAAAATGAACAAGATAAATGATCCTATCCTCATACAATTTAAGATTTTGAAACTTACATTAATTTTTATCTCTACAGCTGCTGCAACTGCAAATGCCAGGCAAGCTAGTATCATACCAACAGCCATTTTCCTAAGTGAACTATGGAAGAAAGAGAGAAAAATGACACTTAGACTTTATACTTAAAAGGACAAAATATCCCCCAGCCTAGCTTTAAAAATCCTTTTAATTTGGACCCAATTTCTTTTGAGACTGTTATAACTTCCTTTCACAGATCCATCTTTCTTCCTTAATTCAAGTCATATTGAATTGTTCTCGAAAATGCACCACATTTTTCCTACATCTACCTTTGGTATTTATTCTTTTTCTATTAATTATGCCATAATAACCAAAATAGCATAATATAAGCATATCCGTTGAACATTTACCATATATAAGATACCATTTATTATTACTTTCAAGTTTTTCTACTACATCTTTGGTAGCAGGAAGGACTCTTTTACTTCTCCTGCATTTCCCTGACACTTTGTTTCCTTTTGTAGGGTACTTAAAACTGCTCATCTTGCATAACAATCGTCCTTACACAGGTTTTAGTTGCTTAACTAAACAGTAACCTCTTTGGAGGAAAGATTTATGTTTAATATCTTCTCAATAAATAAATGAAGGGAAGTCACAGTAAATTACCAGAAGGAAAATGACTAATAAACAGAAATTAAAGGATGCTTGGAAACTTCCCTGGTTAAACCTACAAGGTTCTCGTCCTGGGTGAGTGGCAGGAGCGATAGCACAGCGGTAGGGCGTTTGCCTTGCATGCAGCCAACATGGCCGACCCGAGTTCGATTCCTCTGCCCCTCTCGGAGAGCCCGGCAAGCTACCGAGAGTATCTCGCCCGCACGGCAGAGCCTGGCAAGCTCCCCGTGATGTATTCGATATGCCAGACACAGTAACAACAAAGTCTCCAATGGAGACGTTACTGGGCCTGCTCGAGCAAATCGACGATCAACGGGAGGGCCTTTACCTTTACCTTTACTAGGTTCTCTATTTGTTCCATTGACACAATAAGAGAGTTTAGGGGATTAGTTGTCATTAAAGATGAGAATTTTTTTTGGAGAGACAAATATCAATATGAAAGCTATGTTTGTTTAGATACCTAAACTCCCAATGCCCTGACTTTCCATGTAAATTAAACATATTTCTGTACCATCACATAGTTTATTTATGGTAATGGCTTGTATTCTGTACAAAAAGTATTAACTATATGTAATTCTCATTCTCCAGTATTAAAGACATTTAGGCTTAAACATGCATTTATAGAAGCAAAAAACTGATAAACCAAAATAGACTATCATTAATCAGAAAAGTACTAATTTTGAATCAATCAAACTGGGCAAAGATTCAGTGAGTTTGGAGAAGCAAAGGCATAGTAAGAACTTACGAGAAGTTAATTCCACACTTGGAAATCAGACGGTAGATGACAAGGTCAAACAATGGGATGAAAATAAGAACCAGAAGGGGATTTAAGACCTATAAAATCAAAGTAAAAGATGTTAAAGTGTTCTTCTATCATGAGTGTGAGCAAGCATTATCTGTTCACATTTTCTCTCACATCTAAACACACTTCTGTCATACTAATTACAGAATGAGTCCACATTTGTTGATCCATTAAGTCTAATTTTCTACTACATTTAGTTTCCAATTTCCCAAATAATTAATTTTATTGAAAACCTGTTTTCTGCCAATCTCTGGAAAGAAAGAATTGAAAATTGATGAACTAAGTGCTTAAAAAAAGAAGACCTAGGATCACCAATAAACAAATACTTCTGACTTCAGTGTTCACACCAACAAGGTCTTACTTTTTTTAACGGCATTTTCATTATACTAGCTTGACATGAGGCGATGGGGTGAGGGTGGCGACAAGCATCCAGTATTTATACTTTTCCTATAAGATCAAACTCCTTCTCCTGGAGTTGGGCAGAAACTATCTACTAAACAGAGGATGCGAGAGAGAAGCATATGCTTATGGAGAATATTGTCATAAATTTTAGTCATCTATTGCATAAAAGGAAGAAAAATCCAAATTATGCTAGGTAGATATAAAGTTACTGGTGGAGATAAAGATAAAGAAATGAGTTCCAATGCCTCTAGAGAAGCTTCGTACCTGCATTTGGTCGGGCTGAAGTACAAAAAGACCCTGAAACATAACAAAAATATCTTTAAAAGGTGGGTAAAAAAAAGAACAAAATTTTAAAGAAAAATAAAAGTCTAGATTAACAGTCTTGTTAATTATCATACAAGAAGCAAAAATTAAAACTTTTCAATGCAGGCCTGATAGACAGTACAGCATATGGGATTCTTGCCTTGTACATTGCCAACCAGAGTTCTGTCCCTAGCACCCCATATGGTCCATGCACTCTTAGGAATGATCCCTGAACACAGAGCCAGGAGCAAGTCCCAAGCACTTCCAGGTGTGGTTTAGAAACCAAAGTCAAACAAAAACAAGACTAAAAATTTCATGCTAACTTAAAAAGCCCACAGGTGGTTGCCAAAGGCACTGTGGAGGGACAGAGAAATGGTGAAAAGGGTCAAAGGCACACATACCTAGCTATAATGTGAGTTAAGTCATGGGAATTTAATGAGCAATATGGAGACTGTAGTTTGTAATACCATGTTCCATGTGTGAAACTGTTGAGAGTAGATATAAAACATCTTGCTCACAGGGGAATAAAATGATAGTACAGCAAGTAGGGAGCTTGGCTTGCAGATGCAAAACCTTGGATTCAATTCTCTGCACCGCAAATGGTCCTCCAGACTCTACCAGAAAAGGTCTCTCAGCACAAACCCAGAAGTAAACCCTGAACACTGCCAGGTGTGACCCAAAATTGAAACAAAAATAACCCTTAAATTCTTTGGTTCAGGGCTATTATCTTGTTTATAAGAGTATTTGAGGGTAAAGGGGAAGGATACTTCAGCAAGGGATAACTTGCTAAAGGCAGATGATTCTAGGTATAGAGTTCCCTTTTTCTGAACTGTGCTATGTTTTTCTTAACATGATAAAGAATAGAGTCAGAATATTTTATTTTTTAAATTAATCTCAGTAGCTTCAGTTTAAGAGATAATAATGTACTCAATGTCTGTTATAAAACAAAGAATAACGCCTGACTGAGAAGAACGTCAAACTCAGAAACGTAGAAGGGTGCCTACCATGGACAAAAACTTATCCATAATCCCTTCCCACTATAAGAGAGAATAGTATAAACTGTGCTGGACGAACCGAGGCCCATTGTTTGGCAACAAAACTGAACGGCTCCTGGCAGTCTCTCCTCATTCAACCAGGTACAGCCTGCTCCACGGCTTGAGACTCCCCCAGGGAATGCGCAGCTAGCTTGATCCCCTAGAATTGCCGGTTTTCTCCCTTGGCCTGCTCAGAACGGGAACTGAGGCAACATCATATCCCGCGGCAACAAAGCTGAAGGGATCTGGGAACTCTCTCCTCACTCAACCAGAATAGTAACAGTGAACGTGAAGGACTAAAGCACACTGGTCACAATGGTAAAGCAACGCAAAAGCCCACCAAACTTTCTTATTGAAGAGGCAAGCCCAGAAGACACCAACAGTACTGTAGTATCAGACAACCTCTCTGACAAGGAATTCAGAAGGGAGCTAGTTAGGATGCTTTGGGAACTAAAAGAAACAATGGAAACCAATGCCAATAAAAGACAAGAGGATTTGAAGGCAGAAATGAGAAAAATGCAATCGGAAATGTCGGACCTGAAAACCCTGGTAGGCGAATTGAAAACCTCAGTGGAAGGCCTCAGAAGCAGAGTAACAGCTGCTGAGAACAGAATCAGTGAGCTTGAAGATGAAGTTCAGAGACTCGCCAGAAAAGAGCAGAAAATGGAAAAGAGACTCACAGTTCGGGAACAGATGGCAAGAGAAGATCATGATGAAGCCAAGAGGGGTAACATAAGAATTATTGGAGTCCCAGAGGGACAGGAAGAAAACCCTGATGAAGAAGAAGCTGTCAAAGACATCATTGCTACAACATTTCCAGAGCTGAAGAAAACTTGTGACCACATTCAGGAGGCCCGGAGGGTACCAGCTAGAAGAAATCCGAACAAAAATACCCCAAGACACATCCTGATCAAAATGACCAAAACTTTAGACAGAGACAAAATTCTGAAAGCAGCAAGATCGAAAAAAGAAATCTCTTACAAAGGAGCATCCTTAAAATTCACAGCTGATTTTTCTGATGAAACCCTCAGGGCCCGAAAACAGTGGTGGGACATAGTGAGAAAACTCAATGAAATAAATGCCTCTCCAAAAATACTTTACCCAGCAAGACTCTCATTCATAATAGAAGGAACAACACACAGTTTCACAGACAAACAACAGCTCAGGAACTTCATAGACTCAAGACCATGGTTACAAGTACAACTAAATGGGCTACTTTAAGACAGGACAGGCCCCTCAAATACACCTAATTTCAACAGAACAATGGGACAAAATCCCATAACAGTAATCTCTCTCAATGTCAATGGGCTAAACGCACCAATTAAAAGACACAGAGTGGCTGGATGGATTAGAAAATTGAACCCAACATTCTGCTGCCTGTAAGAAACACACCTTAATAGTCAAAGCAAACACAGACTCAGAGTCAAAGGCTGGAAAACAATCCTACAGGCAAACAGCTCCCATAAAAAAGCTGGGGTAGCCACCTTAATATCAGACCACATCGATTTCAGAGTGAAGAAGGTCATAAGAGACAGTGAAGGCCATTTCTTAGTGATCAAAGGATCTGTACAACAGGAAGAACTTACAATAATAAATGTATATGCACCTAATGAGAGACCAGCAAAGTACTTAAAACAACTACTCATAGATTTGGAAAAAGACATCAATAGCAACACAATACTAGTGGGAGACTTCAACACCACTTTGTCACCTCTGGATAGATCAACCAGACTCAAACTTAGCAAGGACATACTTAATCTGAGGGAAACAATGGAAGAAAGGGACTTAGTAGATATATACAGGACACTTCATCCTCAAAAGGCTGAATACACATTCTTCTCAAGCGTACATGGAACATTCTCCAAGATAGACCACATGCTGAGCAACAAAACATATCTCCATAAAATTAAGAAGATAGAGATTGTATCAACAATCTTCTCAGACCACAATGCGCTTAAATTAGAAGTAAATCACACACAAAAACAGAAAACTAAATCAAACACCTGGAAATTAAACAGTGCTCTATTGAACAACGAGTGGCTTAGAATGGAAATCAAAGAGGAAATCAAAAGATTCCTAGAAACGAATGAAAATGAGGTCATGAGTTACCAAAACTTATGGGACACAGCAAAAGCTGTCTTAAGAGGAAAGTTTATAGCTCTACAAGCATTCCTCAGAAAGGAGGAGCGAGCCCACATAAATAAACTAACCTCACAGCTTAAGAGCTTGGAGAAGGACCAACAAAAGGAGCACAACCCGAACAGGAGGAAGGAAATAATAAAACTCAGAGCAGAGATTAACGAGATGGAAACCCAAAAAAACAATCCGAAAGATCAATGAAACCAAGAGCTGGTTCTTTGAGAAAATTAACAAGATCGATAAGCCTCTAGCAAAACTCACAAAGAAGGGGAGAGAGAAAACCCTAATAAACCGAATCAGAAATGCAAAGGGGGTCAATCACAACAGAAACTACAGAAATTCAAAGGATCCTCAGGGAGTACTTTGAGAAGCTTTATGCCACGGAACATCAAAACCTCGAGGAAATGGATAAATTCCTAGACTCCTACAGACTCCCAAGGCTGAACCAAGAAGACCTGGAATACCTGAACAGACCTATCACCATCAAGGAAATTGAAATGGTAATAAAAAGTCTCCCCAAGCACAAAAGCCCTGGCCCAGATGGATTCACTAGTGAATTCTTCCAAATCTTTAAAGAAGACTTACTCCCAATCCTCTTTAAGCTTTTCCACGAAATTGAAATATCAAAAACACTTCCGAATAGTTTCTACGAAGCAAATATCACACTGATACCAAAAGCAGACAGAGATACCACAAAGAAAGAGAATTACAGGCCGATATCCCTGATGAACACAGATGCAAAGATCCTGAACAAACTACTAGCAAATAGAATCCAACTACTCATCAAAAAGATCATACACCATGACCAAGTAGGATTCATCCCAGGGATGCAAGGATGGTTCAACATTCGGAAATCAATCAACATAATCAACCATATCAACAAAAGAAAAGATAAAAAGCATATGATCATATCAATAGATGCAGAGAAAGCATTTGACAAGGTCCAGCACCCCTTTATGATGAAAACCCTAGCCAAAATGGGTATAGAGGGGACTTTCCTCAACATAGTTAAAGCCATCTACCACAAGCCTACAGCAAGCATCATCCTCAATGGGGAAAAACTGAGAGCCTTCCCTCTAAGATCAGGGACGAGACAGGGATGCCCACTCTCTCCACTGCTGTTCAATATAGTACTGGAAGTACTTGCAATAGCGATTAGGCAAGAAAAAGATATTAAGGGCATTCAGGTAGGAAAGGAAGAAATCAAGCTCTCACTATTCGCAGATGATATGTTACTATACTTAGAGAACCCAATAACCTCCACCAAAAAACTCCTAGAAACAATAGACTCGTATAGTAAAGTTGCAGGCTATAAAATCAATACCCAAAAGTCCATGGCTTTCCTATACGCAAACAGTGAGAGAGAAGAAAGCAACATGAAAAAAACAATCCCGTTCACAATCGTGCCCCAGAAAATCAAGTACCTAGGAATCAGCTTAACTAAGGAAGTAAAGGACCTGTACAAAGAAAACTACAAAATGCTACTTCAGGAAATAAAAGAGGACATGAGGAAATGGAAAGATATCCCCTGCTCATGGGTCGGGAGACTTAACATTGTCAAAATGGCAATACTACTGAAAGCATTGTATAAATTCAATGCAATCCCTATAAGGATACCCATGTCATTCTTCAAAGAAATGGAGCAAACACTCCTGAAATTTATATGGAACAATAAGCCCCCACGAATAGCTAAAGCAATTCTTGGGAAAAAGAAAATGGGAGGAATCAACCTCCCGAACTTCAAACTCTACTACAAAGCAGTAATAATTAAAACAGCGTGGTACTGGAACAAAAGCAGAACTGCAGACCAATGAAACAGGGTTGAATACACTGACATCTCCCCTCAATCATATGATCATCTAATCTTTGATAAAGGTGCAAGAAATGTGAAGTGGAGTAAGGAAAGCCTCTTTAACAAATTGTGCTGGCATCACTGGACGGCTACATGCAAAAAAATGGGCTCAGAACTCTGCCTAACACCATGTACAAAAATAAGATCAAAATGGATTAACGACCTCAACATCAGACCAGACACCATAAAGTACATTGAAGACAAAGTTGGCAAAACCCTCCATGACATTGAGGCTAATGGTACTTTCAAAGATGCCACGCCACTGGCCGAGCAAGTAAAAACAGAGATAGATAAATGGGACTATCTTAAACTAAGAAGCTTCTGCACCTCCAAAGAAACAGTGACCAAAATACAAAGACAGTCTACAGAATGGGAAAGGATATTCACCGAATACACATCTGACAAGGGGTTGATAACAAGGATATACAAAATACTGGTGGAACTCCACAAGAAGAAAACATCCAACCCCATCAAAAAATGGGGCAATGAAATGAACAGAAACTTTCTCAAAGAAGAAATCCGAATGGCAAAAAAGCACATGAGAAAATGCTCTACATCATTAATCATCAGGGAGATGCAGATCAAAACCACAATGAGATACCATCTCACACCTCAGAGACTGGCCCACATTCAAAAGAACAAAAGCAACCAATGCTGGCGTGGATGTGGCGAGAAAGGGACACTCCTTCACTGTTGGTGGGAATGTCGACTAGTTCAGCCCTTTTGGAAAACAGTATGGACGTTTCTCAAAAAATTAGAAATTGAGCTCCCATTTGACCCAGCAATACCACTCCTGGGAATATACCCCAGAGAGGCAAAAATGTGTAGTCGAAGTGACATCTGCACTTGTTTGTTCATTGCAGCACTGTTTACAATAGCCAGAAACTGGAAGAAACCTGAGATGACCCAAGAACAGATGACTGGTTAAAGAAACTTTGGTACATCTACACAATGGAGTACTACGTAGCTCTTAGAAAAGATGAAGTCATGAAATTTACATACAAGTGGTACAATATGGAAAGTATCATGCTAAGCGAAATGAGTCAGAAAGAGAGGGATATACATAGAAAAATTGCATTCATCTGGGGGATATAAAGCAACAAAATATGAGATCAATACCTAAGAATAGCTGAGATCAACACCAGGAGGATTACTCCATAACTTAGAGGCCAGCCGGATATTCTAGGGGAAAGGGCAGTTCAGATAGAGAAGGGAACACCAAATGAAAGGTGTTTGGAGGATCCTCCCAGGAGGGGAAATGCATGTTGAAAGTAGACTATGGACTGAACATGATTGCCACTCAATGCTTCTTTTGCAGACCACAACACCCAAAAGGAGAGAGAGAACAAAGGCGAATGCCCTGCCACAGAGGCAGGGTGGGAGGGGGGCTGGGGGGAAATGGGCACTGGTGGAGGATGGGTATTTGATCATTGTATGACCGAAACTAAGGCACAAAGATTTGTAAATCTACAACTGTACCTCATGGTGCTTCACTAATAAAATAAATAAATAAATTAATTAAAAAAAAGAGATAATAATGTGAGGGACCAGGTACTATGGTTAATCCTCCCACTTACATAGCGTTTCCAAGGTTATTCTCAAAAAGAGTGAAAAATGCAAACATGGTAAAATGAATTACGGACAACTAGAGAAAGGAAAATTTATTTCTGATAGGACCCAAATAGATGGGCTAATAAGCTACTCTAAAACCAATCTCCCAGAAGAGAACAAGGCAGAGTCTCCTGCCCCTGCACCTGACTGTCCTCACCGGGGCCCCTTGGAGGAGGGCAGATTGAGTTTCCCTCTCTGCTCTGAGCAGGGCCCCGACCGCTGAAGACCTCTGGGACCCAGCCAAAGTCATGCTGAGACCACTATCCACACACTTGGAAGAGGAACTGGCAGAAAAAACCCAGGAGTGTGGGACCCGGGGCTGAGATATTCAAGCCTGCTCCATTTGGGACTGGGCCTTCTCCACCCAGCTCTACTACCTTCCAGTAGCTAGACAGTTACACCCACCAACTGTTGTGTAACCCCATCAATAGCCAGGATCCAGAGACTCTAAAATCAAGCTCCCGGAAGCAACCTCTTATTCTTTAGTTGTCACTCTCAGAGAACCCGGCAGGCTACTGAGAGTATCATACCTGCCTATATGCCTGACTAGGAACACCTGTAAAGGTGATTAGAGGCTGGTCCAAAAGCTTCCATCCCTCTCAGAGAGCCCGGCAAGCTACCTAGAGTATCCCGCCCACATGGCAGAGCCTGACAAGCTAACCATGGTGTACTCGATCTGTCAAAAACAGTAACAATGAATGGTCCTCATTCCCCTGATCCTGAAGGAGCCCCCAATATGTCATCGGGCTACACTAGCACATGACAGGGACAAATGGAGACATTGCTGGGCCTGCTCGAGCGAATCGATGAACAATGGGGTGATAGTGATAGTGATAGTGAATAATATACTGTTATTATTTCATCTTGAACTCCCTCCCCACACTGAGCAGAGCCCCGGCAGCTGAAGACCTCTGGAAACAGCCACAGCCATGTTCAAGACCACTGTCTACATGCTCAGATGAGCCACACACATGAAGGAACTGACAGAGAAACCCCAGTGTGCAAGAACTGGGCCTGAGATCTCCAAGCCTGCTCTGATCAGGACTGGGCCTCCTTCACTCAGATCCCCCATCTTCCAGCAGGTAGGCATTATACCCACCAACTGCCCCCAACACCATGTAATCCCATCAATTTCCAAGACCCAAAGACTATAAAACCAAGCTCCCGGAAGCAGATGGCAGCATTCATGGCCACGCAACCTCTTATTGTCTAGTTCTCACTCTTGGAGAACCAGGCAGGCTACCAAGAGTATCCTGCCCACACGGCAGAGTGTGGCAAGCTCTCCGTTGCGTAATCTATATGACAAAATCCAGTAACAATAATGGGTCTCATTCCCCTGACCCTGAAAGAGCCTCCAATGTGGCACTTGCTAAAATCTCAGGGCTAGGGCGAATGGAGATGCTACTGGTGCTCGAGAAAATCAATGAACAACAGGATGACAGTGACAGTGAACTCTTTGAAATGGACACAATAGAAAAATAATATAATAATCTAGGAAGTAAAACAATTTAAAGCAGAAATAAGGGGTGTTGGGAAGATTCACCCAGGATGGGAGATACATGCTGAAAGTAGACTATAGACCAAACATGATTGCCACTCAATTCCTCTTTTGCAAACCACAGCACCCAAAAGGAGAGAGAGAACAAAAGGGAATGCCCTGACACAGAGGCGGGGGGATGGGGGTATGGGGGTATGGGGGGTGGGAGGAGTACTGGGATTAGTGGTGGTGGAGAATGGGCACTGGTGGAGGGATGGGTACTCGATCATTGTATAATTGAAACCCAAGCACAAAAAACTGTAAGTCTACAGCTGTACCTCATGGTGCTTCACTAATAAAAATTTTAAAAAAAATAATAAAGCAGAAATAAAACTGAGATTTCCCAAGAATAGAGAATAAAAAAAATGTTTAAAACTTTCCAAAGCTTTCCAAGATCCACGTATAAAACATTCCACTCCAACATGGGGTAGGGGCTAGGGGAAAGGGGCAGGAGTATTGATGGTCCAGCCTTTCTGGAAAACTATGCACATTCCTCAAAAGTCTAGGAAAATCTTCTGCATGATTCAGCAATCCCACTTCTTGGAATTTATCCCCATAGACCCAAAAATACAATAGAGAAAAGACATCTACACCCTTATGTTCCTTGCAGCACTATCCACAATAACCAAAATCTGGAAACATCCCAAGTGTCTTAGATCAGATGACTGGAGTAGGAAACCATGGTACACACATACAAAGAAATAATGCTCATCCATAAGAAAAGATAAAAATCATGCAGTTTTCTGCTTTGTGGAGGAATCTGGAGAATATCAGGCTCAGCCAGACTGAGAAAGACCAACACAGAAGGATATTTCTCATGTGGGATATAAAGAAACATAACAGTGGAATAAAAGAGCCCAAAGGCAAATGAAACAAAGAGTCTGATACCCAGTCATCAGCAGGAAGCTTGCTACCTAGGAGGCATGGTGGGGAGATAGGACAGAGAAGGGAACACTACAACAAGTGTAAAGTGTTGTGTATGAAATCCTATCAGCAACATACTACAAACCACAATGCCAAAAGCCATTAAAAAAGCACCTTTCATTGGGTGAAGGGTAAGGGTGGCATAAGCATTGGTGGAGGTAAGTGGACACTGGTATATGCCTGAAACCCAATCATGAATAACTTTGTAATTTACAGTGACTAAATAATTAATCAAAAATTTTTCAATTAGACCTGTCCCTGGACTGCCCTGGGCAGACTTTTATGGGAGAAAATAATAATATCCAAGGCCTATACCACTTTGCCAGCTCAAACCATCCTTATATACATTTGAAACTTTCCCATCCTTTGGTTCCTGATTTCTAAAGATACATTTCTGGCTTTTATTTTTAGACTAGCTTTCTTTACTTCATCTATTCAGCACCTTCATGCTAAAGAAAGCTCTTTACAATGTTGTCAGTCTTCAAGTAAAACCTAACAAATATTTTTACTTAATATTAATTAGAAAAAATAATAGGCTTCTATGAAAAATTCCCTTTTACTCACCAAATTTCCATCCATCCTGGTGGCTTGCAAGGTCCATCGTGAGCCCTGAAGCAAACAGGTGCTATTATAAGAAATCCCTTTGTTTCAAGATAGAGAAAGGATTGGAAGAAGGGATAGCTATCAGAGGAACTATTCATACCTGCTGATCCAAAAGGGCCCAGAACATGGGCAATGGTATATAAAGGAATAGTACCCTGGTAAGTGCCTTTACATCCATAATGAGTTGCTTCTGCAAGAAGGGACAAGAAAAAACAAGTTGAATCATCAGACAGGGTTTTCTTCCTCAGATTAGAAGTGCTCCACAGAACATTAACAGAAGATTTTAAATGAAGTAGGAGGTCAAATACAGTAGGAAGAAATTAATTTTGATATAAAAAATGTCTTATAAGCATAAGTTCTGAAGTTCCAACTTACTGGGTGTTTCTCAGCTGCCCAGTCCAGCCAGTGCTGTCGTTTTGGAATGTTCTTAGAACGGTTCTTAAAACGGTTGGAAATAGCAAACTAAGGCAGAGCATAGCACAGATATCAGAAAAGATGCAAAAAAGAAACCATTTCAACAAATTACTCATTCCATTAAGTAACATACTACCACCCTTTGATTTCATCATTGAATTTCAGAAATTTCAGTTTATAAGTTTATCATGATTTTGTGTTGACAACATATATAACTATTTTTTCAGAAGATTTTTAAACGAAGTTAAAATAATTATTTAACTTAACATTTAATTAGAGATAAGGAATGAACAACCAATTTAAGTTAGCCAAAAAGCATAGAGGTAGAACAGAGATTACTGAAGAAAAGATATTATATCTATATTAGAAACTTTATATGCTCATCTTAGCATCCTGTTCCCTTTGAAATAGTTGGGTAAACAACTAATGAACTTACCCAAATACATTTTATAACTTGAGCCACAATATTTCCTTCAGGAGGTGGTTTTTTGTACAGTTTGTTTCCCATTGCGAACACAACTGTAATTGAGACACAAATAAGATTCTTAGTGTTTCATTTAGCACATTCAATTTATCAATGCTAAGGACAGATTGGTAATGTATAAGCCACTGATAAGTCTCAGAAAGGGATGGAATTGACAAATGCTGAACTTTGGAGTTTTAAGCTTGACTTTGGAGTTATTAATTTGACTCTGGTGTCACAAAAACAATGAGATTCAAGAGAGGAATAGAATGGTCATATATCATGAGAGATCATTGTTGAAATTTTCTGTAATCAAAGAAATGGAAATCATCTTTGAATTAGCACTTTCACCGTCTCCATATCTGATCATTTGATGTATATCCGACTTTCACTGATCTTCCTTTTTTTAGTGTGTGTTTCAACTGCTCTAAATTTTCGTTATTACTGTTAGGAGTTCTTGTCTGAGACCTCACAACACTTCTGTTTATTCATTTTGTTTTGCTTTTGCTTCCGGGAAGGGAGAGGGGGGAGTCTCCCAAGTGGTGCTAAGGAGCAGGAGCGGGGGTTGGGAGGAGGCCCTGTAGATTCTGGGCAAATGTACCAGCATTTCAGTACCAAGACATGAGATGTACAACTCAGGACGTGTGATGCCAAGGATACACAGTCCCAATCACCACTCCAACAGTATTGGGGGTCTCAAAGACTTCAGCCAGTGATGCTCAGAGAAAACCATATGGTGCCAGAAATAAAACCTCTGTGCAATACATTCTAAGTACGCACCCTAATCACTGTACTACCTCCCAGCTGCAATACAGAACTTTTACACTGTATTAACAAAATGTTCACTAAATGTTTTTTTAAGTCTCTCTTCTTCTTCTCTGACACCAAATAGAAAACTTCTTCCTAATAAGTCCAAACTCCTGGCATGAAAGGTCTTCAAGTTCATTATTGATCTGATGGTTATTATCACTAAGTATATATTTAAGGTTTAAATAAAGTGTTAAGAGGTTTACATGTATTAACTAATTTTATCTAATAAAATAAACTTTACTGTCTTCATTTTATACATGAAGAAATTGAAAATTAAATAAGATAAGCAATTTTACAAGATTACATTGCAAGTTTTGCAAGCTTGATAGTGTAAGAAACTGCAATTTCTACCAAAGACTCATAACATTTTTTGGGGAAAAAACCTCTGTATGTTCTTAAATATTATAAAGCATCTCATACACTCATTCTTTCATTAGGCACTGTGCTAGACACTCCCAAGAACAAGTTAACAAGACATAACCCCACACTTCAATGAAACTTACATCAACCTCCTATTTCCTAGCTTATGTTCTATTACTCCATTCTGTCCCATATGATCTAACCAATATTTTATCATTCTTACAAAATTACATTTTGTAGAAATTTTCTATTTCTATTCCTAAATTTATTTTCCCCTTTAATTCACATCTTTAGTCTTTCACTACATAGACACAACTAACCATAGGTGAATTTTATTGTCTTGCTTCTCATTTCATTTTCAAATAACCGGCAATTAAAATTTTTAAATCTCAAACAAGTGGGAAGAATTCTTTCTGCACTTTCTAGATACTTTCCTCCTAAATGGGTTTTCCAGTTCCAGCAAGACGCTCCTCTAGTTCAGCTACCAAAGATCCCAGTGCCTGGGAACACTTTTCAATATCCTTGCATATTAGGTTGCTTAAATCTCTTTAACTTTTTCTACTTTAACTTTTCAATCCTTTTGGGGTTACCTCCCAAGTGGTGCTCAGATGTCACAAGGACTATACTCCATAGTGCACAAGAGGCTATGGTATTGAGGACTGAACTTCAGACTTCATTCATGATAGGCAGTTGTCCTATACTTTTATGCTATTTCCCTGACCCTGTTACCTATAGCACTGTATCACTGTCCTCCCGTTGTTCATCGATTTGCTCGAGCAGGTACCAGTAATGTCTCCATTGTGAGACTTGTTACTGTTTTTGCCATATCCAATACACCACGGGGAGCTTGCCAGACTCTGCCATGTGGCCGGGATACTCTTGGTAGCTTGCTGGGCTCTCCGAGAAGGATGGGGAAATTGAACCCAGGTCGGCTGCATACAAGGCAAATGCCCTACCTGCTGTGCTATCGCTCCAGCCCACCCTGCTACCTATACTTTTTATTTTCCTTTCATTCTCTATCATTCATAATTTATATCTATAACTCTCTAAAATTCACTTCATCATCTTTTCTTTGTGATCCTTTCACTTATCCTACTATTCTTACAAATAGTACCCTGTACCTACCAAAGACTTCACACTGCTGCTAGAAAAATCAATTCAGAAAAAGAATTCTAATCCTGGGGGATAACTGGGTAGTTCAAAAGTCCAGAAAAGTCTTTAGATGGGATATAGACTTCCAAAAATTAAGTTGATTCTCAGAGGAGGCTGAAAATCTCAGGAATTCTCTTATCAATAATTCTATTATCATTAAAGGACAGATGACTAATCAACTCAATGAGCCTACACTTAAATTTCAGAATTCCTTAGTGAAGAAAGTAAGTAGTGACCAGAGTCTCTACTTTCTCCTGTCTCTAGTAGACAGTGTTAGAAAGATAACAGAAAACATAAAATGGAAACTACCTGTTTCCTGTTACCAATTTTATTAATTCCAGCATTTATAATCAGTCCTCTGTTCAAAATCCTTTTGTAGCTCCTCACTGTCTACATAATAAAGTCTTAATTTTTTAATGACTGAAAGGGCCTATATTGTCTGCTTTCTATCAAATTATGCTTATTTTACCCAGACAATGGAAACAAAGAACATGTAAACTAGTACTCAGTAGGAAACATGCCACTTGAGGGGGCCCTCCCATTGTTCATCGATTTGCTTGACCAGGCCCAGTAATGTCTCCATTGGAGATTTTGTTGTTACTGTGTTTGGCATATCAAATACGTCACGAGTGGCTTGCCAGGCTCTGCCGTGTGGGCGAGATACTCTCGGTAGCTTGCCGGGCTCTCCGAGAGGGGCGGAGGAATCGAACTCGGGTCGGCCATGTTGGCCACGTGTAAGGCCGCATGTAAGGCAAACGCCAACATGGCCGACCCGAGTTCGATTCCTCCACCCCTCTCGGAGAGCCCGGCAAGCTACCGAGAGTATCTCGCCCGCACAGCAGAGCCTGGCAAGCCACCCGTGACGTATTAGATATGCCAAACACAGTAACAACAAGTCTCATGATGGAGACGTTACTGGGCCCGCTCAAGCAAATTGATGAACTTGAGGGGGCTGGAATAAAAATAGGACGGGGAGAGAACAATGTTTATAATGTTGGGAGGTATTCAGCTGGGAGGAGGAGAAAAAGTGGACAGTGGTGAAGAGATCAGTTTTGAAATACAGTATGTGTGAAAACCAATAATGAATAACTTTGCAATTTCACCATAACTAAAAATAAAACATCAAAAAACAAAACAAAACACTTCTTCTTATCTTTCTCATTTATTCTCTGGACCATCTGAATTCCTTTAATATCTTCAAATATGTCACAATATTACCACCTAGTCTTTAAGATATGGGTTCTGAATCATTTTCAATTTTAATTTTTTAAGCTTTTGTGATTCTTGATATCTCATCTGAAGGTATGATTTCTCTTTTTTTCTTTTTCTTTTTGGGTCACACCTGGCGATGCGCAGGGGCTACTCCTGGCTCTGCATTCAGGAATTACTCCTGGAAGTGCTCAGGGATGCCAGAGATCAAACCCAGGTCGGCTGCATGCAAGTGAACGCCCTACCTGTTATACTATTGCTCCAGCCCTGAAGATATAATTTCTTTAAGAAAATCTATTGTAATCCTCAAAGTCTTAGATTCTCTTATGTGTTCATATAATGGCATAATTCATGCTATTTACTTGTACATTTTATTTACCTCTCTGTCTCCTTCATAATGAATTAGCTTTTGAAAGCATAACTCTAGTCTAATTTACTTATGTGACCACAGTACTTATTTAGAATATGAAACATAGTATGTTATTAATTTAATGCCTGATAACTTTAGTTAATAAAAATAAATTAATATAATTAAATTACAGTGAAAGCCCAGAGAATTGCATAATATACTAATAGCTATAAAACTAAAGCTCCTCACTAGCACTTGATAAATATTTCATAATTTATAAAAATACACTTAGAGAATTTTTATTTTTATAATTACTCTAATATGTAAATATTATTACTGTGCATTAACCCGAAGAAGAGAACATAGTACTTATTGATCAGTAAATCAGGAAATTTGGGAAGGAAAGATTGGCTTTGAGAGAGAAGGAAACAGGAAATGTATTATCACCGTTGTCTTGAGTAACACGTAAGTTTCCTTGGAATTGAAATTGGAATTTGATTATTACTAGTAACATGCCTTTCACCCCATTGATTGAAAATAAACAAACTGAATGGTGAATCTCAGGGCTCTGTTCCTTCTTGGAGTTCTTTATGTGTTCAGACTGGACGTCTTCCAAGTGGTGTTTCCCAAATGCTCAGAGAGAACAGGTTTCCAGGTCAGTGATTAGAAACAATCATGTCTGTTTTTCTTTAAACCCTGTAAGCTAAGTAACACTCTCACTGCTTACTCCCCCATCCCTTTCATTACTGGGTTCTCATTAGAAAAGAGAAAGCCACTTAAACTAAGTTGCATCACTTTCCACCCACTTATTCAACATCTCTTAAATTTGAGATTTTCTCAAAAGTAAAATCTCAAATACATTAGAGAGCAGGTCAGAAATAGCTAAACACTATGTCATTTGTGTTTTTTTTTAATGCAATAGTTAGGAATCTCATTAATTTTTGTTGTTTAATCAGAAAAATTTAATAAACATTGGCTTAAGACATTGCAGGTGATTTTTAAATACAGGCTTATACCTCTGCAAAAGTATATTATACCAAGACCACCATCCAAACTGCATTAACTATCATCAAGATACAAAAGAGCCCCTCTGCTTAGTGCTCTAATTTCCAGAATCATCCTCAAAAATACAATTCATTAAATAAATAACTCTGAGGTTACATAAATTAGATTGAGGAAAACAATGATTTTCTTCTGCTCTACTGCACTTACCAAGAGCTAGCACCATAAGCAATCCTGGAACACCAAAAGCCAATGCATAGCAATCTTCTCCAAAACACTGAACATCTCCTAAAAATTAAAAAAAAAATTGGAAAAAAGATAACAATGAGTCTTGGTACTCTTGGCTCTAATAGTCTCTGTTGATACATCCTATGGTATTCATGAACTCGGAATTTTTTTTATATCAGAGACAAATGATTCTTCCTCACTTAATCCATTGTCCTTCAGTTGGGTGAGAAAATCCATAATTTAAAAAAATTCTTTCAATTTTCAAACCCTTTAAAAGGAGAGGATAGGCAGTAGGAAGCCTGAAAGAGATTTTCAATGATAACAGTAAAACCTTTAACAGAGTTCCCCAGAATAAATTCTAACCTCTTAGCATGGGTGTGATAAAGGTAGAAATCAAACTTCCTGCGTTGATGGCTAGGTAGAAGACTGAGAAGTACTTAGTCCGTTCTTCTGCCTGTAGCAAATGGAAAAAATTAGTTCAAAGCATCTTCTGTTTGCACCCCGGCTTGTATTTATTCAGCTGGAGATATACAAAGATGGTTTCAAGTATTGCCTCCATAGTTTCTAAATATCAGATTAGATTTGGGAGGAATTAGCCCAGTGGTCTTGGGGTCACTTGGGCTACACCCAACATTGTTCAGAAGGTCTTGTGATTCTGGGAACTGAACCAGGGTCCTCAACAATGCCAGAAATTTTTAATCATCTCCCTGACCCCCATACTAAATATTTTAATACATGCATGACACACCTCAGACTTTTATACATCTTTCAAACCCCAGGCAAGTTTCTTTAACATTCTCTTACCTCTTTATCTGAAAAAAAATTCTATATATTATGCCACCATAGTATCCTATATTTAATATAATTTCATAATACTATATATAGTATTAATTTCATTGCACTATGTGTCTGTTTCAGGACATGTGAATTCTTTTGGAATTTCAGAAATCTGAATTACAGAAATTGTATCTTATTTATTTCTGTAATCCCCACGGCTGACTATAGCGTTGGATATACATTACAGACTCAATGAATGCTTATTGACTGAATTAAGTAAATGGCTGATGAGTTAAATAATAGATTTTGTGAAATATGTAGTAGGAACAGAACTAGAATAAAGGACAATAGAATAAATTGTTGATCAAGCAGGGAAGTCTGCCAGAGAGAATAAAACAAGTCCGTGGGCTTAGAAGTGGCTGGTGGAAACTTGGAGGTGGGTTTTCTATTGCTGAAATATCTTTGTGGAACAGTTACTCAATGCAGCCACTTTCAGATAAAGTTGCTGAGGTTTTCTCATTGTGTACTGCTATACTTCCTTCTGGAACCTCAGATCTTTTCCTGAGACATAAGCACAATCTGTCCTTCCCCATTTTCTATTATCATACATTCTGCTTCCTCTTCAGATTCTCGTTATTTCTTCTGCACTCATTCACCACACACTTAATCCATTCATCTACTTTAGCAGTTAATTGCTTATAAACTTCAATTGCTAGTATTTAGTTATTTTGCTAAATTTAGCTAGCATTTTTGATTTATGAACACTTAAAGAACATAAAATATTAACTCAAATGGTCTGAGAAAAACACAGGAGGGCTGGAGAGATAATACAGCTGGTAGGGCATTTGTCTTGCACGCAGCTGACCCGGGTTCGATTCCCAGCATCCCACAGGGTCTCTCCAAGCACCACCAGGAGTAATTCCTGAGTGCAAAAGCCAGCCAGGAGTTAACCCCTGTGCATTGCTGGGTGTGAACCAAAAAGAAAAGAAAAAAAGAAAGAGAAACACAGGAATGCAGGACACACAGAGAAAAAAGAGAGAGAAAAATCAGAATCATGACAAATAGCTATGAGAAGATGCAAGCCAAGCAGCTAAAATTTATGGACACACTAGTCTCTTGGTTGAAACTTTGAGGCTTCCTCAGGAGGGATCAGGCTGAATCCTTAATCTGCCAAAGCTCAGGTAGCCACAAACACACCACACTGCTGCCTCCACACCTCACGGCTGACGCCACATCAAAGCCCCAAGACTTTACTAAGAATCTCTGCCGCAGCTTATCCCAATTTTACTGATCCTGAAGCTTTTGGATCGTGAGGCAGCATATATTCTACAGTACTGAAATCCGGTAGGAGCACACCAAACTAGATGGGAAAGTAATGGGCAGCCAAATTTAACAAACACAACCAATAACACAGAGGGCTCAACTAGCAATAAGCATCTCAGCAAATCCTCAGACAAAGATTTAACAACCCAGTGGTGAGATCTAATAATTTTCACAAATTTTCTTTCATAAAATGTATTTGATAATTATTTTAGCCATTTAGGTTGTTACAAACAATATAAAACCAATTATAGTGTGCCTGCTGAGGGGGCAGGCTTGGTGAGTGGTTGGGAAAATGGAGACAATGTTGGAGTGAAGGTCACGCAGGTCGTGGGATTGATGTTGGAACATTAAAAGCTCATAACAGTTATATTATGAACAACTTTGCAAATGCCATGGTGTTAAAATAACACCCTCACCACCTCCCCCCACCCCCGCTAATTATACTTAAACTACTACAGTCCCCCATAGTTTTTATACCTGTACCCCCCACCCAAGGGGGCGGTATTGCCTGCTTTGGGAAAGACTGATCTAGATAAAATGATCTAGAGAAGCTAATTTTATTTATTCTGAATGATCAATTTCCCCTTGATAAAGAATCTCAAAAGTGAAAAGGTTGTCATTATTTTGACTCTACTTACCACCTCCCATCCTCACTACTAACCACATTGTGTTTTAAATACCTCAAGTGAGAGGAAACCCACTTTTTAAAGTTTTTTTTAAGTTTTTCCTTTCATCATGCCAAAAGCTAATTTCCAATAGCTGCCACTCATTACTTTACTGATTGATATGCATAGAGAGCTAGAACATTCTTTTTAACTTTTTATCTTAATCTGGGTTAAATATTTACATTTTCTTCTCTTCAAAGTGTGACCTTTTTAGCCCATATACAATCCTGGTCACCTGTATTGAACATATTTCAGTTTTACTTCAGTATTTTGACTGAAACCCAGCACTGAACACAATTGCTTGGTTACAATCTTACCAGTGCATTACTTCAATCTTCGTAAAGGATACTAATTTAGTACCTTACTTGGTATCTCTTTGATTGCCTTCTCTACATTTCTGAAACTACAGAAATAACAGGACTCTTACATGTTCTTCTTCAAACTGGTCTCCACCAAAAGCTGCAACACAGGGTTTGATACCGCCTGTCCCCAAAGCTATGAGACTCAGGCCAACCAACGACAGGACTCTGGAATGGAGAGGAGGGAATGCCAGCCATATTGATACTCAACACAAGTGTACAACAGAATATAGAGAAACAGGATAGGGAAGGCATATAAAATGGCAAAGATCTGCACATATTCTATCTTGTGGGCACACTCTCACTTCCCTTACCCTAAAAAAGACTGGGATGTGGGGTGGACAGAGGGTCACTCATAACTTTTATACTCTTGAGCTTCTGATAGAATGTATTACATGGGAAGATTTTTCCCCTCAGCTCCAAAACTAAAGCACTTTAAAAACCTTGTTTAGCCATGGGGACTGTTCAATTTGAAAAAGAGAAAACTTTATGAACTCTTAATCCTATACACTTTCTCTACCAACAAAATAAAAATTAAAGTTCATCATAATTAACAGACACATCACTGATTTTTATAGGATACCAATAAGAAGGATGGAGGATTCTAATATAATTCACAGGGTATTGGTGCATTCTTTCTTTAAACATATTTGATTTTTTTCTTGAAAAATTATAATTTTCTCTATTGGCTAAACTAATATACATTAATTTAGCCAATAGAGAAAATTATCATTTTAATTATATGTATAATGTATAAAATGTATACATTTCATATGTATAATGTATACATATAATGTATAAAATGTATAAAATACAGCTCCTGGAACTGCGCGGCCGCATTTGCGGCCACACAACATCTTATAAGGACATCTTTTTATGACATCTTATTATCTCATTCCTACTTTGGACAAACTTGCAGCCTATCGAATGTAGCTTGCCCACAAGGCAGAGTCTGGCAAACTCCCCGTGGCGTACCCAATATGCCAAATACCAGTAACAATGATGGGTCTCATTCTCCTAAAGAGCCTTGAATATAATCTCAGGGCTAGGATGAAGGAGACGTTACTGGGGCCTGCTCGAGGCAATCGACGAATAACAGGATGATAAATTGAAATGAAAATGAAAATATACATTAATATCTAATGAATCCCTCTTGTTCCAAAAACATCAATACATTATTAAAAAAGAAATGGAGAAATAAAATACATGTAACTATACATAAATTGAAGTGATCCTAACTTTTATATGACCTCTACAATATTTTATGAGGAAAGAACACAGAAGTTTTATAACTGGTAAAGAACAATTAGTAGGTGGTTGAATAAAAGGATCATTAAATTTTAATAATTTTTAAGCATTTGGAGAGTTTTTATGAAGAGGATCCTAACTATGTATTTTATAGTTCCCAAAATAGTAAAAACAAATAAGCTCATATAAAATAAGAAAATTTGAATTCAACAGATTAGGTTAGGAAATAAAGGTGCATTTCTGGTAAGAAAACAGAAAATCATCTATAATAAATGGGTTAGACATTTACCTGTTTAATGGAAGAAAAGTGGTTCAGTTTATTCCATGATTTTACTCACGTGTGTACCATATGTTCTCCAAGTATTGGTATGGCACCGAAGGACTTGATCACATGGCCAAGTACATATACCAAGGAGAGGTAGATTATTGTTCTGTTGAAAAATTTGAATCAATAGATATATAAATATAATCAGACAGACACTAGAGTAAGACAGACTCAGGGTTCATATTGTTCTTACTACCAGGATAGAGTGGAAGATGAAAGGGGTGGAAATGGAAATAATTACCCCAGATAGGTAAATAACAAAAAATAGTAAATAAAATGTGATAACAAGCCAGAAAAAAGAGCAACTCTTAACCCTGTAGTGTTAAAGATAATAATAATTTGAATTCTTCAAATTCTTTACTAATACCTATCTTCTTTCCCCTTCACTCACCCCACACATAAGCAGAGCATTTATGTTCTTACTCACATATATCAAGACTAGGATGAATTCATTTTTACTAATACTGTTTTCAATTAAGAGAAATAAAATAGGATACCCTAATATAAGTACTTTTTTCTCAAGAAATGTCTTTGGCTTTATAAATTGAGAAGATTGAGGAAAGTAGTTCAAGTAACCATGCCAAGGAAAGTGCTAATAAAAAGAACTTTCTCTAGACCCAAGAACTGGTGTAGTAAAGGGGTCTCAAGTCCAGTCTGGTCGCTTGAACATTTGGATTAATTATAATTTCGCCACAGTTTTCTCAAGAAAAATTTATCCAGAGTAAGAAAATAATCAGGGACTTAGCATATAAACTGTCCAATTATAAAAATCATGCATGTGACCAGTTATCTCACTGAGTTATTTTTCTAAAAAAATTAAATTGTAATAAGGAAAAAAGAAGAGTGAAGAATTCTAAGAGGAACATATATAGAGAAATACAAACTAAAATAGGACCTACAATTTTCACTCCCTAAGTGTATTGCCACACTTTCATTGTTCTGCTATAAGGAGAATGTTACTATAAAAATTACATAGTTTAGGACTGGAATGATAGCACAGTGGGTAGGGCGTTTGCCTTGCATGTGGCAGAACCAGGTTCAATTCCCAGCATCCCATATGGTCCCTTGAGCACCACCAGGAGTAAATCCTGAGTGCAGAGCCAGGAGTAACCCATGTGCATAGCAGGGTGTGACCCAAAAATCAGAAAAAAAATTACATAGTTTACATATGTGATTTTTAGGTGTTATAAGCTAACATGCAGTATAAAAAAAAACAGAATAAATTGCAAAGAGAGACAGGGATTACATAAATCACAGAATGCGAATTTATTCTTTAATATCTGATATTCTTATGTTAATTTTCTATGGATGGGACCTTAGAGTATTAATAATACCAAGTAGGGTATAAGAATTTGGTCTACTAATCCAAACCTAATAAATATAAGTGGGTAGGTTCATGTTTCCCAATAGGATTCACAGTTTATTCTAGGGAAAAAGGCTTCACTTTGTTGAAACCAAATAAATAAATAGGAATGAGAAGTACTGAAAAGAAAACCAACATCATAAACCCAAAAGATATGATCTGTCATTAGTCATCAGAGGAAAAAAGAAAAAAAATTTTTGTGGCAGTGATTGAGTATAAGTAGGTAGATATGAAAAATGTTATAGTTATTTCAAGAAAATTAACTTGGCAGTAATATATAGGCTTAATTGTAAGGAAAGAATGTGGAAAGCAATTAAAACACTTGTCCGTTTGTAAGGTGCATTTAGAGACAAAGATGACCAAAACTTAACTAGTGGCAATAATTAACAGACTCAGTATTGAAGAACAAATGTGTGATACTATAAAAACAAAATTGGTAGATCTGGTAACCAGGGGTATATAGAAGATAAGAAAAAGAGCAGGAATGGAGGGTGAGGATAGAGAAGGTGAAACACATAAATGAAAACTGCCAATGTGTAATTACAATACATGCTGGGGACTGAGTCACAGGTTCAGATTACTGAGTTTGAAAATATATCTTCTGCAGACATAATTGACACCACAGGCTTTGCTAAGACAGATGATGAATTAAAAAGGGTAAAAATATTCCCTGCCTATGTTTAGGGAAGAGTGAAGTAAACAAAAGACAAAAAAGAAGTTAAATGCGGAAGAAACAAAAAAAGTAAGAGGAAGAGGACCAAAAAATTACAAAGAAGTTCAATAAGTTGCAGAACTGGATTCATGATAAACAGACTTGAAATATTAAAATTAGTTAAAAGTAAGAATTTTTTAAAAACCACTGTAATTTGTTATCAAAGGTATCATTATTAGTGATATTAGAAATATCTATTGATCAAATATCTATTGAATTAAATTGATCAGAGTAAATTAAATTTAATTAGATTATTTTGCATTGCATTTTATTACTCTCTTAATAAATAATTGATGAGAAAGGAAGGCAACAAAAAAAGATTCTTTTTAAAAGTGAAAAATAATAGGAATTTTTCAAAGAAGTTAGAAGGAGCGTTATTAATAGTTTTGTGTGCTTAAAGCTCTCAGATTTGTGCCTTGGGGTCTGAGCCATAGTTGCCATGCACACGGCCAACCCGGCTTCGATTCCCAGCATCCTCCATGGTTCCCGAGTACTGGCAGAAGTAGTTCCTGAGTGCAGATGCAGAAGTAGCCCTGAGCATTGCTGGACATGGCCCCAAAATACAAAGAGAGAGAGAGAGAGAGAGAGAGAGAGAGAGAGAGTAATTTGTGCCTACTTGTAGATATAGGAAAAGGCTATTTCTGAAGGAGAATTTTAAGGTAAAAGAAGGAATGATGCATAAACAGAGCTAAGGAGTTTGACAGAGCTACGATTATATAAATGATATACAGTAAAAATTCACCAAGTTTCTATTTTGGAATTTGCCTATTTGTATTTCAATAAAATTTTAAAAAATTTTTTTTGGTTTTGGGGCAATACTCGGTGATGCGCAAGGGTTACTCCTGGAAGGGCTCAGGGGACCATATAGGATGCCAGAAGAACTCAGTTAGCTTCGTGCAAGGCAAGTGCCCTGTCCTCTATACTATCACTCTGGCCCACTATGTTTACTATTTTTATAGGGGCCATATTTAGTGGTTCTTGGAATAAAGCAGGAGAGGCTGAAGTCATCTTCTCTTTTCCAAAAATAGTGATATTTTGCACAGGAAAACAGGTCTTGTGATTTGGAGTCTGGTGTTTGAGGTTCATCAGGCCACTCCAGTGGTACTCAGGGGGCTAAATGGTAAGTTACTGGACACAGGGTCTTGCACAAGCCAGAAATTTTTTTTCCATTTGAATCATCTCACTTGCCCTCAAAGAAATCTCTAAAATAAAAAAGTGCCTTAAAAGAATTAAATTGACAGGATAAGTTTAAGTTCTTAAAGTTCATCTAAAATAGGTAGAAATCTATCATACGTTGAAACATGGATGGTAATTCTCTTATTTTATAGGAAATTATTTTAAAATAAACACTATATTATGTATGTTGGCTTTTATTTTAAAGAATAAAGACCAATTCCTGTGCTTTTTATTATGTACATTGTTCCAACCCTTTATCGCAAATGTCTTAGTGACTACTGCATAAGCAGCAAACATATGTCTCTCCCAAGCTAAGAAAATTGTGTTTATAGAATATTTTAAGTGATTGCTAAATACTTTAGAAAAATTTTCTTCAACTGTTTTACACTTGTAGATTAGCACTTGTTCTTCAAAATGGTTCATGGATCAGCGTTATAACCAAGGTGGTTGACAGTGGTTTTCAACTTTTCTACACCTGCAGACCATCAGTGGATGGTTAACTAGCACTTGAAGACTAATGCTTTAGAGCAACATATATACATATATTAATTGTTATACATCACTGTCACTGTCACTGTCCTCCCGTTGTTCATCGATTTGCTCGAGTGGGCCCAGTAACATCTCCATTGTGACAATTGCTACTGTGTTTGGCATATCGACTATGTCACGGGTAGCTTGCCAGGCTTTGCCGTGTGGGTGAGATACTCTTGGTATCTTGCCAGGTTCTCAAGAGGGGAGGAGGAATCGAACTCGGGTCGGCCATGTTGGACGCTTGCAACGCAAATGCCTTACCTGCTGTGCTATCACTCCAGCCCAATTGTTATACATACATATAATAATTTATATATAAATATATATACCAAGTGAAAAATAAATCAATGTTAATGACTGGAGTGATAGCACAGCAGTAAGGTATTTGCCTTGTGCAAAGCCAGCTAGGCCGAGCTGGGTTTGATTCCTCCGCCCCTCTCAGAGAGTCCGGCAAGCTACTGAGAGTATCTCGCCCGCACGGTCAAGTCTGGCAAGGTACCCGTAATATATTCAATATGCCAAACACAGTAACAACGAGTCTCAAAATGGAGACGTTACTGGGCCCGCTCGAGAAAATCGATGAACAACAGGAAGATAGTGCTACAGTGCTAATAGAAGATGATTCCATGGAAGACTAGGTCTACAAGATATTATGCAAAAAGTTTCCATCATCAAGTCTGAGGAATACTAAGTATTGTAACCTTGTCAGAGACTTTTACAATGCATATAAGCTTGTTAAATACTAGAAGAGGTGATACAGTCAGAAAAACCTTTTCATCCTTGTTCAGCCTAGCATCTTCCAAACTTACTTGATCTTGGAAGCTTTACTTTCCTGTGTAATAATCATTATGTCCTATCCAACTGATTTTCAACTGAATCCTCTCTGAAAAAAATACTAATTTTGATAAATCTGTGTATGAGTAGTCCACAGACAATAACTGAGTAATAGATATCCAAGATCCACCTCAAGCCTTTGAGAATAGTCTTGTAGTGGACAACTATAACTAATTATAGTTGGTTGTAGTTGCCCTCAACAACATTATCTCATAAGTATCTGTTGGTGCTATTTTCAAGAACTTAAAATATACCAAACTATTATTAGACCATTAGTTTAGGTCCTAAAAATAATCATTATATTCTTAAGAAGGTAAGTAAAGAAAGAAGTTCAAAAAGAGAAACAGATGGTAAAGAGGTGAGATGAATTCATAAGAAAATACTAAAGGAATTTGGATGACTCAGTTTGGAGACATTATGGAAAAGTTATCAAATAACTATAGTAAGGTATAGTAAGGTAAGTAAATTAAAAACATTCTAGTGGGTAGCATTGTCCTTGATATTAGATAAAAATCATCTGGGGGGCAGGGGGTAGTTTGGGCCTCACAAGTGATGCTCAGCAATTACTCCTGGTTCTTTGCTCAGGGATCACTTTTAGTTGTGCCCACATGAACACTAAGGATCAGATCAGAGTACACTGCCATGCAAAACTATCATCTTACTATCTCTCTGCTGCCTCCAATTAATCTTAAACTATTAAAGTGGAATATTAAAATTGAATTAAAAATATGTCCCCCCCTGATAGAAAGAATGTAAGAGTATTGGAAAACTAATAATGAAGAGAAATACCCTTCATATGTTATCAGTAGTCTTAGTCTTAACGAAATTGATAACTTCAGTGGCTAACACAAGTCTACTTTTGCTTGGAAGAAAGATGCTACAAGAAAGACCCTCACAAATGATCTATGAAACTTCTGAGGCTGCTACTCCTCTCCCCTTTTCCTTACTTGAATTTCCCCAGCCATGAGTCAGCAATGGCAGCTCCCAGGATAGGAGTGAAATAACAAAGGCTGCTGAAAGCATGGTACACTGCTGTGGCGGTGTCTTCATTCCAGTTCAAGAAATACAGGAAATACAGGGTCAACACAGCTAAGGGGAAAAAAGAAGAATACAAAATAAGTTAGATGCATTAAAGTGGCTATGGAAGAGAATTGCACTTAATTTCAAGTCCTTTAAAGTAATTTTGGTCTTCAACATTCCTATCAGTGAGGTGTTGGGGAGCAGAAGCAAAGTCCAAAGGAGCTGCAAGAAGAACTGGTCTATATTTAGTGTACAAATACAGTGCTTCAAGCATCAGTTCTAATGTACCCATAAACATTTGGGTTAATCACAAAGAGAGTACTGTGCTTTCAATATCCCTTCCTTCCTCTATTCAGCAACAATAGAGTTTATAGACCCGATGATAGGTATGAAGAATGAAACTTTAGATAAAGAGTTGCCCCACTTAGATTCTCATAGGCTGAATTATGCTTCTGTTAAACCTTTCTGTTCTTTGACAATAAGGCTTATTATGTGAAATCCCATGAAGAATTTATTGGAAGTCTTGACCAATGAAAAGGAAAAATTTGGATGAAAAAAAGGCGGACAAGGAAAATCACAATACACAGAAAAATCAGGTTGCTAGCAACATGGGGCTAGGGTTAGGAGAAAAGAATAGAACTCTGAATTCAAAATTACATTACCTTTCATGCCATAGTAGGAAAAACGCTCACAAAATTCATTCACCACAATGAAGGCAATGCTCAGTGGGTAATTGGAGCCAAAGATTTTCTATGAAACAAAAAAATCAATGTTTCAAATATTAACTGCTCTTTCTCTATTTAAATCACTTGATTACTCCATACAGCATAAAAATTATGTCACTACAATAGGTAATGTGAGACAATGGCATCCACTTGTCATGAAATAGTTGCTAGCATACTAAGTGCTTGATTGATGACTTATGAGAAACAGAATACATTCTGAGTATCAGTTTTTTCTTCATTAATTAATTATTATTAATTTTGTTTGGGGGCAGTCCCTAAGGAGTACTAAATGAACACAAGGATCCTTTTGGGCTGGTGATGCTAAAGCACACCAGAATTGGGGTCCACAGTGCCACTAGGGCCTCCATCTTCCAGACATGTGTTTCTAGCCCTTTGAGCTATCTCCCTGATGACTCCTTTCTCACCTTAACATGGTGCCACTCAGCTTTCCCATGATCCTAGACACCAATACCTATTCATGTTTCTATAACTACTAACTGAAAGCCTGAGATTCTGGAAAGGAGAATTATACTTTGTTTTTAGGAACTAAAGAGTTCCTAAAAGGCCTGTGGAGCACTTCATATACAAGCAACTACACCTAAATGTCTCTATCTCCTTTGGCTCTACTCCGAAGACTCTTTTCTCCACCTGTCCTGTTGACTGCGCATGGAGGAATCATGATAATATGATGAATGCCATTCAGCAGCTGCTAGAACGAGGCCAAGAATCCAATATAGTTTACTATCTGTAATCCGATTAATCACCTTAACCCAGGCAAGTGCTTAAATCTTGTAAAAATTAAATGGCCTCTTTTCCTACAGAATTCCTATAACATTTTTATGTATTGCACATTAAAACAACGATGCTAGTTTGTGCATTTTATCTGTAAGACTATAAGTAATGTCATTTTAATTTTAAATTCCTACTCATTACAATGATCCAACTAACACTAGAGGGGGTATTATGATATCTATCCTCCAGACTTAAACAAGAAATCTTACCATAAAATTTATATTACCTCTAATTTCACAAGAAATTACCTCTTACCCCTCTTACCTTTGTGAGCAGTCATTTTTTATGGGGGATAAGGGTGATTTGGGGGGAGGGCACAATTCTGATGATGCTCAGGGCTTACTCCTAGCTCTGTGCTCAAGGATTCCTTCTGGTAAAAGTTAAGAGACCACATGTCATTCTAGGGCCATGTGTAGGCTGCATGAAAGGCAAATGCCTTATTTGCTATACTATCTCTCTAGCTCATGTGAATTGAATTGGTTGGAAAAATAAACAACTAAGGTAATAAATGAATGTATTCATTCTTTTATCCATATGAATAGACACTAACAAATCTACTGAATGTTAATGTATGTTACTATAATAACTTGATTGAAAGACAGTGAACTGGCTCCTTATCTTTTAAGATCATTGCTCAAGTATTATTCAACTTGAAGTTTACTTAACCCACGTTCCCCAACTATGTTATACTTTCATGCATCATTTACATATATTATTAACATACCATCCTAGTCATGTCATCACAACTGTTGTTATGCTTCTATTTGCTTATTTCAAAGAAATGAAAATATTATTGGCTTTTTTCCCATACTAAGAACTAAGTAAATATTTTAAATTATTAATACTATATCCTTTCAACTTCCAATATTTTGGTATGAGGATATAATTTGGAAGTATTTTAATAAATTTATAACATAAAACATTACTATTATGTATTTGTTTCTCTGTGATGTCTCCCATTAGAACAAAGACTATAAAACTTTTTTTGATATACAACGTCAGACTGTGCACACAGAAGAAATAAGGACTGAAGTTTTATATTGGTAAATAAAGAACAATCATACACAGTTCTCTAGACAGAAGTGCTTGCCAAGGTCCCCTGGATGTTGGTTTTATTTCGCTCCAGAAAAATTCAGAATACACAATGTAATACATCCCAGATCCCAGCTGAAGATCTCTGACTACCTCTTCCTGCTGTTTTCTCTTTGAAGTAAAGAAAGCTTCTGTTTAGATTTGATTTTCAGGTAAATTTTAATTCCAGTAAGATTAGTTTTATACTCTAGTATTGTTCAGACTGCAGCACCAGAGGCCAAGGGGGAAAAAAGCAAAAGAGCAAGTCTGTTCCTATCAAAGGCAGACATGAATCTGGAGACTCACCGGAGGTTGCTTCTTCGGAAGACTGGACAGCTGAGGTAGTACCTCTTCAGTGGAGACAGGTGAAAAAAGAGTTTCTTTGGACTCGTTTTTCTGGAAGGAATTCATGGCTAGTTCTTTACTCTCTCTCTTCTCAAGCATTTGGCTTTGGTAGGCAGTTGGGAAAGTGCCCAGCTCCCTGTGAAAAGGGGGACTGGGAGGGGAAGAGGGGGTGGCTTCAGCAACTAGATTTAACCCTGTGGGTGTCTGCTTCAGCAAATGCCTGGCTTTCTGCCAGATGAAGCAGAAAGCAGTAGGGAAAGAAGGGCAACGGGTCTCATAAACAAATTTTAAAGAATTATTTGTATAAGAAAGAGCCTGGATAGAAATGTGAACAATTCACCACACGATGTGACAAGATGATGTATAAGAATTGCAAATGGCTATAAAACAATAACACAATGCCTCAAACATAAATGAAAAACTTGAGGGGTGAAAAAAGGGGTGAATAAACTTCTGGTTATAAAATAAAGAAATCAAAGGGACATACTATACATAAGGACAAAAATCACTTCAATATTTGAAAATTGCCTTCATTCTTTGCCTCTAGAGCTGAAAACTTTTTTTTCAAAAAGAAATTGTAACTATGTATCATAACAGATATTAACAAGGCTTATTGTGGTGATAATTTCACAATAAATACAAATGTCTAGTCATTATATTGAAAACTTGAAAACACTATAATGTTATGTGCCAATCAAGCCACAATAAAAACTGATTTTAGGGTAACAACAGCTGCCCTTTATTGTAGCTTATTAGAGATAATATTCATACACAAGAAAATTACGTTTGTATTTTACCTGTATATATTCTGACTTTTATCCCTCTTTTACAGGAAATAGTGTTTCAGGAGGTAAAATAATCTGTCACAGCACCTGTCATGGTAAATGGCAAGATCTGGAATTTTCACTATGGTGTGATAGGCAGAAGAGATCAGGATAAATAAAGCCTATGGTCATTACACAAGCATAGAGTCTACAGAAATGGACATGAAGACATGTAGGAAAATTTAAATTCATTGAAGAGAAGTTATCACAAAACTGAATTTGGAGAGATAGAATGTTGATTTTTGTTTAAGAAAATTAAATTCAACTAGAAATATCCTATTTAGTGTACTAAAGAAGACAAAAATAGGGTTTGGTGATAGATAATTGAAAACATCTCCTTTGTAAATTGTACTCCTTTGTTAATTCCTTTGTTAATCTTTGTTAATTCCATCTCCTTTGTTAATTCCACTCCCCTGTTTCAATATTTTCACTTTAAGACAAGGCCATCATTTCATTGATAAAATATTTGAGTATAAATTATGAATCAGTCACTTTCTGGGTACTATGGCAACTATCATTTTACTTAATTTTCAGTAGAGATACTCCCAAAGGAACCCATTATATAATATTTAGTCTTTATAAGAAGAAGAACAAAAACTGACTTGATTTTGACAAATACATTTTATATAGTATCGTTTTTGTTCAGTAGAGATAAGAACAAAAGCATATGTGAGGGAAGGAGCTATACAGAAAATTAATGAGAAAGTCAAACAATAGAAGGCTGAAATGTGTTATAGTGAGTAAGCACTTGCCTTGGCCGTGTCTGACCCGAGTTCAATCCTGGGCACTTCATATGGCTCCCAGAGCTATCAGGAGTGATTCCTGAGCACTACCTGGATCTGGCCCATTAACCGAAAATGAAAAAAAAGTTTTTTTCCTTTCCACTCAAAGTAATTTATTGACAAATAAGTTGAGGATAAACTACTCCTTCGTCCAACCTTAGACTTTGACCATGACTTCTCGGTTTCTATTACTTGCATTACTCCTCTCTCCCACTAACCTTTACCCAAAGAATCCAAATTTGTTTCTGACTATAGCATTGATAATTAAGCTGTAGTTTTCTAAGAAAATATTTCACTTTCTGACAGTTTTACCCACTATTCAGCTAAAAAATATATGGACAGTCAGAAGTTCTACCAGGGGCTCAAATAATTCCATTTATGTAATTAAAATACATTTATGTCATAAAATACATTTATAGCAGTATCTCTCTCTTCTTTGGCCTTCACCTCTAAAATAGCATTTGATCTGGAAGAGCAGATGAATAATGCCTGCATGAAAAGCCCCAATTCACTGTTTGCTTAGGTGTCCAAAATACTAAACTTTATACATTGTTGGCAATGATTATCTTATATTCAGTCCTTTCTCTAGACAAAATTTTCTTCATTATGACAAAATAAAGCTAGCTTTCAGAGAACCAAATAATATCAAAGATGAAAGAAATATCATTTTGTTATATGTAAATAAATTAGTAAGATTGTTTAGGATGATATATTAAAATGTACACTATAATATACAAGGTCTACTATGGGCAATGTATATAAATTTTTCTTCCAATATTTATTTTGGCATCGTGATTTATAATACTGTTAATAGTAATGTTTAAGGCTTACAATGCTCCAACACCACACCATCTCTTAGAGTGTCATTTCTCCACTGACACCCCCAAGTCCTCACCCATTTTTCCCACCTCCCCACCCCCTGGCAAACTAAGTACTGCAGGTCTAGTCTAGGGGCTATTACCATTTACCATTTTTAATTTTCTTACCTACCATGTTTCTTTAATTTCCACATATGTCCCTTCCCTTTCAACTGATTATGCTCAGCATAATACTCTCTAATTCCATCTATATAGCAATTAGCTTCATGAACTAATCTTTTCTTATAGCTAAGTCGTACTGCATTGTGTGTAATGGTTTTTTATTCACTCATCTGTCTTTGGCCATTTGATTTATTTCCAGACCTTGACCATTGTAAATAGTGCTTCAGTGAACATAGGTATGCAAATGTCTTTTCAATATGTTTCTTTGGGGCTCTTGGCATAGATGCCAAGAAATGGAGTCACTGGATCATATGGAAACTCAATTCTTAATTTTTTGAGAGGAGTCTATACTGTTTTCCATAAAGGTTGAACCAGACAATTTCCCACTGATACTGAATGATATTTCCTTTTCTTCGTTTCCTCCTCCAGCAGTGGGTGTTCCCATTATTTTTCATTGCATTGATCTCACTGGTGTGAAGTGATATATACATATATATGAACATATATATTCATAAAAAAAACTTTAATGTAAGAATCTAAGTCCACTAGTGAAGGGATGGGTGTTAGAACATTGTATGACCGAAACCCAATCACGAACAACATTGTAACTGTGTACCTCGTGGTGATTCAATTAAAAAGAATATTTTTTAAAAGACTCTGTTGTTCAAAGCCCCAAGGGATCCAGCCCCAGCAGTCTAAAACCTCCAGAACCCAACTGCTGCCATGCTCAAGGCCACCCCCCATACGCTTGGGCCAGCCTCACACACAAGTGAAGTTCAACAAAACTTAGGTAATGCGGAACTTTGTGACCTTGTACTCTGGGTTCAATGCGACCAGGAGCGGAGATCCTCTGCCCATTTCCCCCATCTCTGGCGACCCAGGGGTCATGCCTATAAGCCACCTCCTACCGGCGCTAGATAAATTCATCATCAGCCACCATCCAGATCGCATGGCTTTTTCCCCAGAAGAAAGTAACATGATGCCCAGCATAGCCATGCCACCAGACCCCACACCAGGTTGTTTCACTTGGGGGGCACCCTAGAGGATGAGAGCCCTCCCTGCTCCAAGAGACCCAGCCCTTACAGCCGAAAACCTCCAGAATCCAACTGCCACCATGCTTAAGGCCGCTCCCCACAAGCTCAGGCCAAGCCTCAAGCATGAGTAAATGTATTTCTGGCTGGACACATCATAAGACACTCCCTACCCATTCTCCAAGAGTACCACACCACATTTGATGGGGTTCAAATAGTAGGCAACCAATCATAGAGGGAAATATATATATGCATATATACATATTTTCAGATATATATAAGAAAGCTCGCATCAATCAACCTTTAACAACATGATAGTGAATGTCTAAATGGCTCCTGCCAAAATAGAACAGTCTTCACACTGTTTCCCCTATGGATACATTTTAGTAGCATTTTCAGTGGTTTTTCATAACAGACAATAAAAAATATATTATTTCGCTTGTGTTTTGGTACAGGGATTGGGGCTTGGGATGGAAACATCCCAAATATGGTGGTGGGAAGGTATAATGGTGGTGGGATTGGTGTTTGAATATTGTCACTGTCACTGTCCTCCCGTTGTTCATCAATTTGCTTGAGCGGGCCCAGTAACATCTCCATCTTGAGACTTTGTTGTTACTGTGTTTGGCATATCCAATACGTCACGGGGAGCTTGCCAGGCTTTGCCGTGCAGGCAAGATACTCTCTGTAGTTTGCCGGGCTCTTCGAGAGGGGCAGAGGAATCGAACTCGGGTCAGCCATGTTGGCTGCATGCAAGGCAAATGGCAAACGCCCTACCCGCTGTGCTATCACTCCAGCCCGTTTGAATATTAAATGTAATCAAATATTGTGAACTACCTTAGAAAATAAAAAAATTGAAAAAGAAATCTGTTGTTCAAAGTTAAAACAATGAAAAGCACCCTACTTAAGGCTATTTTGCTCTTCTTTTTTTGAAACAGATGGTCAGGTCACCTGCCTCTCCATAGGGAGGAGGGCTCAGATATCAATAAGTAAGAAATTTTCCGTGCCATTTTCTCTGTCATAATTTTACCTCCAAAAGTATTGATTCACGATTTCCCCATAATAATTATCTTATACTTTTAACTGACTGGAGGATAGCACAGAGAGCAGGACGTTTGCCTTACACGCTGCTGACCAGGCCGACCTGGGTTTGATTTCTCTGCCCCTCTTGGAGAGCCTGGCAAGCTACCGAGAGTATCTCACCCTCACAGTAAAGCCTGGCAAGCTACCCGTGACATGTTCGATATGCCAAAACACAGTAACAACAAGTCTCACAATGGAGATGTTACTGGGCCCACTCGAGCAAATCGATGAACAATGGGAGGACAGTGCTACAGTGCTATTTTTAACTGGAAAAAATATAGCTTATACTTTTAACTGAAAACTGAAGAACCTCTTGCCCCCGTGCCAGGCTGTCTTCACTGGGGCCCCTCAGAAGGGGGAGGCTTGAGTTTCCCTCCCCGCCCCAAGCAGAACCCCGGCAGC